AGTGCCGGATGGGAGCCCTCACATATTCAACCAGGTCTCGCTGTGGCTGCGTATCTGCCTCTCGACACAGTACCCGCCTCTGTTCTATCCTGCCTTTCCCCTGCGTCTCTCTCCACCATGTCTGAAGACCATCACCGTCCAACCGCCTGCTACCGAGCAAGACAGGCCAGAACCGCTTGATTCACCAGCGTCGTCAACTGTCGTCAACATGTCATCCATCAATGATCCACTGCATGTCTTACTCTCACGCTGTCCGAGAGGACAGGTTTCTGCATGTCTCGCTCTCGTGCCACCCTCCCTGTTGATCGCCCACGCTACCGCTACGCTTGTCACATACGCCCCACCCTTCCTCCAATGCCCGGCGCTTCTTTGGCGACATTTCCAGATGGCCTCGGCGCTTCATCCTTGATGACCATGAGCTCTCTTCGGCTAGAATTCCCTCGACCCTCGAGATGGTGGGGACGGCTCGGGCGGGCACAAGCCTCGGAAGAGACACAGACCAAGCTCACCTCACAATCGTAGCGAGAGACTATCATCGACTTTCCATGCCATCTATCATCTATCAACAAACATGCTCTACACCTAATCACAGAGAATGCTACTGAACCGGCTTGACGAGCTTTGCGGCACCACGTTGATTTGCTCTCAACTCTCCGGGCCTACTCCTCGAGAAACCAACAGGGAAACATCGGTTGGAACGCTCAGTCCTCAAAGCAACTCGATCGAGACACTCGCAGGAGGATCGACGCAGGACCCCGCGGCGAGGTAGTAGCAAACTTGTACTGGACGCCATACATGGCCATGATAGATGACTGCAGCGAAAAGCCTCAACGACGCGTCGTCGAACCAACGACCAGGAAGAGCCACCAACAACCAGACGCGCTTTCTCGTCTGTTCGTAAGTCGAATTAGGATTCTTTGAGGGTGTCGTTAAACTTGGTAAACCGGACTCTCGGCCTGCTAAGCTAATAGGAGATGGATGGTACGCCACACCCCTTGAAGCCTCCTTCATCCAAGATAGTCCCAAAAGATCCGGGCAAAGTGGACCGACGGATTCGAACTATTCTCCCAATTGTTATATTCTCTGGCAAAACAGGCAATGATACGCTCACCAGTGGCCCGCCGTCCTTGCAATCTCACCCACGACCCGGTCGTCTGATACGGCCCGTTGCCCGCAGAGTCAGCTTCACAGCCTGCCTATCCGTGGGGTGACTTGGGGGTGAGAGTCGGCTCGATACGGCAGTCTGGTGATGGAAGACATTTGGAAGTCTTCCATTCGCAGACAGTGCAACGCTCCAACCCATCTTCAAGGCCCTTGCTCCAGGGCAAACTAGAGTTTGACATTGTCTCATTCAAAGTCCAGATCCGCTCGAGCAACGACCGTCGCCCCCGTCGGTCGCGTATAATATCCAACCACTATTGGAAGAGGAGTGTTACTATTCTCTTGGTCCGGGGTCTGGTGCATTCTCAATAGTATGATTGGCTCTATTCGAAATGGACTTCTGGGCAGGAAGGGGCGCGATCCCTCTCCCCGTCGTTCATTGGCCTTTTAATGGGTAATTTGGGCCAATCATCTGGCCGACCCAGCACAATCTCTCACCCACCAAAGTTTGGTCCCTGAAGGTCCATTTCCCCCTCATGCATGTCTCTCCTTACCCGCATCTCCCGGAAACGGTCCATCACCAATCGTCTACTTCGACTCCACGACCGAATTTCTCTTTCAAGATAATTATGCTGAAAGGAGATGATACTGGCGTCATGAGTCTTAGTCAGAGATGATATCTCATCTTGACTTTTAGGCCGGTCCCGAACGTTTCCCCCGCAACGGGCTGCCAATGTCTCGAAGCCTACGCTTGCAAGGCAAATGACAGCTCTTGTTGCACACATTGACGAGCATGGCGCGGTCAGTGGGCAGCATAAACAATCAGTTTGTCAAAAGAAACGCCAGAAAGTGATGCTTGACGGGCTTGCCACCAGAATCGCATATCGCCTGGCCAGCAGTCGGCTTCTAAGCAACACAGGCTGCATGATTTACGGCCTGCAGGAAACGACGAGAATAGCAACATGGCCTTCTCCCTCTTGGCCTAAAGGCTAGATCGACCCCACAACCAATAACCAAGCGGCGCGGTATCTGAGCGATACAGTCGGCCAGCCAAATGGAACGCGGGCACGGAAGTGTCTCTACAAAACTGGCCGACTGGGATCACGAGACTTACAGCTCAAGGAGCCATGATCCTTCAGGCAACATGCCCAGTAACATCAAGCGCAAATGGAGACACGGCGGCCATACCAGAGCAGCTGAAACCTGCAGCTCGACTGTGGCGACTATTATGCGCTGGCCGCGTCTAAAATGGACTGAACCAAGGCCTGGTAGAATGGGTTGCGATTGCGGCTGCGTCGTATGCCGCAAGGTCAAGGCCAACTTGCTGCCGAAGCGAGACAGCGGCCCTGCCAGAGGTGCAGAAGCAATTCCGCAATGGCGTCTTCGGTGGCGCTGAAAGGTACTGTGGTGAGGCAACCAGCCAGCAAACAAGCATGCAAAACCTGCAAAACCTGCACTCCGCCACACGCCTCATCCGGAACCCATGCCATCACTGGGTCGTGAGGCTGGTGACGTGGCACTCAAGTCCGGCGAAGCGGGTCTCGGGTGGCTCAGTGCCAACGGAGCCGACTTTCGGTTGCACTTTAAGAGTCTGTGCCACTCACAGATACCCTTGCACCCGTTTGCTTCTGTGGCTTGTTCCCAGTCTTGGGGAATCGCAGATCTCTGGGTTTTGCTCGGTCGCGAGTCTATATCCATCGCCATGTCACCGGTACTTGCGGCGGTGAAGCCAGGATCGTCTCGCTGACTCCGAAGACAACGCAGCATCTGAATATTCAACGTTCCAACAAAGCAAACTCATCATATCGACACGAATATCGACTTACAAGTCGACGGTCTCTAGGAGTGAGCCCGAGCAATGATGAAATCACCCGGGGTCTTCTCTCGCTTCCAGGACTGGAACCAACGACGAGCCCACCAGTGGCCCCTGTTCCCTCTCCAATCGTAGCCGCCAGAGATCCCGCGACCAGGGGCCTTTTCAAGTAGACAGGGGTTTTGGCATTTCCATTGGCTTGGGTCCGATGAGACAGCAGGGGTGCGCAGACAGCACTTTGAGTCTAGTGAGTAACGTGATGAAGGCTAGGTGCGAGCGCCCACAGCTTTCACACTCCTTCACGTTCGGCACGGCGGTTGTTGGAGGAGAAGAGGCCCAGAGTTTTCACATTTACTTTGGCATCATCCGAATATGTCGTCGTTGGACGGGTGGCCGCACAGACGAAGGAGCCAAAGCGAAGAAATTGCCCTCTCGCCCGCACCCGTTATCCGCAAGTGGCGCCCGGCGTATTTCCCATAGACGCGGGATTAGCGCGATGGCTGGAAACCAAAGGACCACACACCCCGTGTCGTTGGAAAGCGCGCCGGGCTTCGTACTAAAAGTCCAAGAGGCTGTTTTGGGGTCTCGCGGGAAGGCTGGGCTGTGCTGAGACATGGGGCTAGCTAACTAACAGTCAGCTGGCCCAGAGCTTGATGCGTTGGCAGCTCGACTACTTGATGAACCGGTTTTCCCCCAATCGCCTTGATAGAACTTTCTACAGCGACGCAGCCCGTCGTGTCGAGACTCCCTTTACCCTTCTGCGCACAGGCTTCCTGGAGGCCCCACGGCGAACAGAGCTTGCTCGGGAACTAACGTCACCAGAACCACCAACTCGGCACACACTTGTTGGGTGAGAAAACCCTTTAGGCCTCAGAGAGAGTTCGGCTGAACTCAAACTGACAGCTCCAAGTGGATCTCTGGTGTTTGGCAGCTGTGAAGCGAATGGTTTTGCTGAACCCTTACTTTCTTGGTTGGGAACAATCTTCGATACGGTCGAATAATGGGAGTCTCCCGCGCCATGAGAGGATTCCGAGCCCTGCAGCTTTGCGGCGTGGCTTGATTGAGAAGAGCTGACGAAGAAGTAGACTGGCTAAGGATCTGTTTTGTTGGATTCTGCAGGGCATTTTCAACGCGCCATTCGTCTCTCGTCTTTCGGTACTATCGATGCCCCCTTTTTTCAGGTTTTCGATTACGACTCTTTCCATATCGATGAAGCCATGTATGACGGACACGGTAGTCTTACTTGAGTTCTTACGTCGATGGCTTGCCGGTGCTAGATCCCTCGTAGGGCACGGACTTGCGGAAAGATTTTGGCTTTGGTGACATTAGTGAGAGACGGGCAGTGAAGCCGTCGATTTGTCTAGCGGCGGGTTTTTGGGGGCGCCGTCTGTTTGCTCACGCGTAGCTTGTCCGTCTGGTTGGGTTGTCGCTTTTGACGGACGGCGAGGCTTGATTTGCCTTAGGGCTTACGACGGCGGCGGGATGTTAGAAGTGCTTGATTTCAAGTGAGATCCTTCTTTTGGTGGACGAGCTGTGTTGTCAGGATAGTCTTTTGATAGCAAAATCAAGCTCACACTTGATTTCATATTCATCATCGGACGTCGGTTATAATCTATAAAAGTCGACGCAATCCTCGCATTGTCGTCTGGATTGGAGTTTCTCCCTAGGGAGGTATCGGCTCGTTCTTCTTGCCCTTCCATTCGCTCCTCTTGATTTTCTCATTGTCGAGGGTGACATCCTTAGCTGGGTGGTGTTCATGTACTGCATTACAATAGCCGAAAGAACGTGATCTACCTCTTTTCCTCGTTGGGTCTCATCCACGTATTCGGGGCGCGGGGGGGGGGGGGTCGTCTTAGAGACGGGAGATGAGGGGTTTTTGTGTTGTTAAAGAGGGAAAGAAGAATACGATTGAGCTCTTGGTCGGTTTTGACATCTTCTCGGTACTACCATGGTTGTGACTACGGCTTCCAGACTCGGGGTCTACGTCTAGATGGTCGGTGATCTGTGTGAGTAGTTGGAGGCATTGACAGGGAGTTTCATATGGCGGGTGCTGATAATGGACCTTTCACTTTGGTAGCATATCTCCATGGATCGTATGGACTACCTTGAGTGGGCTTGCGTAAGTGATCTCAAATACTATAGAATGGATGGTAGTCAGGTACCCGAGCAAGAGGGCGAGAAGACAGCACACAAAGGTGTCACACATTGGTTCTATTGCTCTAGTCCTGGTGAAATCATTTCGCTCGCTAGTCCCTAGACTAAAGCTGAACATTCAAGCGTTCGACTTCATGGGAACTCATCACCATAAATTTCCGGTAAGTTCTCGGCTACCTTTTTCAACATTGGATGTCAAGTATTCTGCAGGGTATGGATCCCCGTTGATTGATAGGGTACGAGGGAAGAGAAGGGGTGTGTAGAATGTAAGTTGATGTCATGGTATGCTAATATCGTCCGAGTCGCAATGTGTGCAGTATAATCAGTGCCCTAGTCATGGGCCGCTCGTATGACAAGGGCATCCAATACCTCATTGACCTTGCCTGAAGACTGCATATCACGGATGCGAGGTTGTGGTTGTATATGTAGATGTTGTTTCCGCTGGTACACGAGGCTTAACAGTCTGGGAAGCCTGCAAGCATGGTGAAGTTGCGGTGAGAATTAACAATGCCGAGAGAGATCACGTTTATAACTATCTACCTCGCGGGAAAGCCTAGGCTCTTGATAGAAATGAAGAGTACGTCGGCTGTATCGATGGTGAGGAAATATCAGAAGCGCGGCGACTACGAGGGACTTTTTCGCTGTTCGAGGTAACTCGCGTATAGAGCTAGGCTCATATTGCAATGAGTTCAAACTAGGTGCCACCGACTTACAGCTTCTGGTTCGGAGGCCGAGACAGACTCACTTGAAGCGTCGCCACGAGAACAGCGTCGAAACTTGGGAAGTACGCAGGAGCTTGGAAACACATTTGACTTCTTTCTTCCAGAAACCAGCCGTCGTAGACAAGGTCCTCTTGGATATTGCGGCCACTTTCGTAACCAAAAGATGGACTATCCACTGCCTTGTCTTCTCACCTCGTAAACCATCATATCCTCTTGCCAAAAACACCCAATCCCCAAGTTGAGGTTGATAAGGGTGTAGACATGCAATTGACTCACTTAGCACGAGAGATGTTCTGCATGTTTTATTGCCTTCAGACCTTGGGATCAGGACCGAAGTCAAACATAAAACACAGAAGATCGACCGGGAATACATAAACCCTGGCAGTGATCTGGAGTTGCGATCATCTTTCTCGCCAACCCCGCCTCCGCACCCCGGGCAAACGCTCGCCGCCTCGCTCCAGACTTACCCCGACGTTCACCCCCATCAATCTCGCTAACATGAACACGCGGGGAAATTTTCTCCATATCACCGACTTACACCCACATCTGACCTACCAGATCAGGATCGCATGCCAAGAAACACTCATTTGCTCCATCATGTCCTTGAAGTAAAGAAAACTACGTCAGTACCGCCGCTGTCCAACATACCATCACCATGTCACGTCTACCCCCTCAAACTCCGACCTTCTTCCTACAATGGCCCCGATGATATCACGTCTCATCCGCCTCGCCGTTCTCCTCTCCTCATCCGTGCTCCTTGTCTCGACAGCTAGCACCACGGGTCCGGACCCAACTCGGCCATGGGAAGCCTACATCAACAGCCCCTCCACCCGGACGGTCCTCCCTCAACGGATCCACGCCGTCTCCGGGCCTGCGGACGTGACGACCTCCGCTGATGATGGTAGCTTCATTCTCACTCTCCAGCCGGGAGGCCAAGTCTCCCTGGACTTTGGCTACGTTGGTGGTCTGCTCTCCATGATGGCAGAGTCCAGTGACGTATCGTCGTCATCTAGCAATTCATCAGAGCCGCACTTCTCCCTTGCCTTCGCCGAGTCCCCCTCCTTCGTCCGTGAGATCTCAGACGACACAGGCGCAATACCAACCCAAGACTACGACAAGGCCCTCAACGTCACGATCACCGCTTCCTCCTCATCAACCCCCTACGCATACATCATGCCCAAGGAACGCTTCCGTGGCGGCTTCAAATACCTAACCCTCCACGCCTTCCGCCCCGTCGCCATCACCTCAATCATCTGCCACCTAGCCTACTCCCCCTCCCAGCCAAACCCAGCTCTCTGGGCAGGCCACTTCCACACACCCAACGACGACCTTCTAACCCGCATCTGGCACGCCGGCGTCTTCACAGCCCAAACCAACATCGCGCCTCCCAACACATCCCGCTGGTTACCTCAAGTCAAACCGGGCTGGGCCTACAACGCGACCCTCGGCGTCGAGGGCCCCATGCTTCTCGACGGCGCGAAGCGAGACCGGGCAGTCTGGCCGGGCGACTTGGGCATCGCGGGCACGACGGCGTACCTAGGTCTCGGTGACGCCGGGTTGGAATCGGTGTTCTTTGCTCTGGAGACCATGTTCCTTTACCAGAATGCCTCGACGGGGCAATTGCCCTTCGCGGGCCCGACGACTGGGTCTTGGAGACGGGGCGCGAAGAGTGATACGTATCATGCCTGGACGTTGATCGCTTGCTTCAACTACGCGATTTTCACTCGCGACGAAGCGTGGCTTACTGGCAGGTGGGGGAACATCACTGCGGGAGTAGATTACATCCTCCGCGTCCTTGACACCAGCGGCAGTGTAGGCCTCGCGGAACAAGTCGAGACAAATGACTGGGCGCGCCTCGGCGGAGGGGGTTACAACAGCGCCCTCAACGCCCTAAACTACCACGCCCTCTCCTCCCTCGCAAGCCTAGCCGCCACCACGGCGACGACCTCCAACGCCCGTGGAGAGCAGGCAACGACGTGGGCGGCCGCGGCAGCGAAGCTCAAGACGGCCTACAACGACGTGTTATGGGACGCCACCGCCTCACAATACCGCGACAACGAGACCGCAGCGGGAGCGCTCCTCTTCCCGCAAGACGGCAACGCGCTGGCCTTGCAATATAACCTCACCACATCCCCCGCCCAAGCCTCATCCCTCTCCGCGGCACTACTACGCAACTGGAACGCCATCGGGCCCGTCACGCCCGAGCTACCGGACACAATCTCCCCCTTCATCTCCTCCATCGAAGTCCTCGCGCACTTTGCCGCGCGGAAACCCCGCCGCGGACTGCGGCTGATGCGCCGCACGTGGAGCTACATGCTCGACTCCCCGCTCATGACGGGCACCACGCTCGTGGAGGGGATGAGCGCCAACGGGTCGTTGTATTATCGCTCGCAACGGGGGTATAGCTACGACGCGGCCTATACATCGCTCTCGCATAGCTGGTCTACGGGGCCGACGCAGGCTCTTAGCTTCAAGGTTGTCGGGCTTGAGGTTGTTGGGTGGGGATGGTGGCGGTTCCAGCCGCAGATGGGGGATCTGAAGAGGGCGGAGACGGGGTGGAAGGACGGGAAGGGGGGTGAGTATGGGGCTGTTGTTGTGGTCGAGGGTGATGGTGTTGATAATGGGCAGGGGAGAGAAGGGGTGCTGGAGGCGGAGATCCTGACGCCTGATGGGACTGAGGGAACCCTTGACATTCCGTATTGCGAGGTTTTATTTGTTGATGGGCAGAAGTGGGATGGCGGGCGTCTCCAAGGAGGGCGGACGAAAGTCAGGGGCGAGGTATGTCGAGTCAGTTGTTGAAGACGACTGTACCATGAGCAGTCCCAAGCAATATAGATCTATGATCACATTTGCACCCACACAGACTGAAGGATTCTCTGGTTTTCTGATGAGAACACCTGGTAGGGTAGTTGGTCATGGGTCAAACACCACAAACGCTGATGGCCTTCATGATCTGGCTCCAGGGATGGGCACATACATCTGCGAGGTCTATGGCTGAATTCCCCGGTTCATGCCACAGGACTGGACAGTTCGAGTAGGCTAGCACCGACGGCATTGACTGGACTGAGTCTTTTAAGGGGCTCGAACTATCCTCGTCTCTCTGTCGTGAAGTCCTCATTGGATCCGACATGCTATCCCGAGATAGTCCCCTTTTGACGAACTGAATCCTACCACTACAACATGAGAGTGGGTAACCATAAGTGTTAGCCAAATGATAGACGAAGCGACATTACAGCTGACGTGAGAGTGTAATTCGGTAACCAATCAAAAGGTAACGAACCCAAGACAAGCTGACGCCGAGAGTCTCGGCCTGCGGCAGATCCACAGCTTGAACTTCCTTCGATAGACTTTTCAAGTCTGAGAGGAATAAATGGTTGATCCACAACTATGCGCCTCGACTTTCTCTTCCAACTCCGTCAATAGCTCATAGCCAGGGAGAAACCTACCCGCTTGCCAGTCACGCAGACATCGTCAGTCGGCACTCGGCCTGGGTGGGATAACATAGCCTCATTCTTTACGGTTGTGGGCACAGAAGGAATGGCAGACACGATATCTAAGGAGAGAAAGGAACAACATGATTCTGAGTGGAAATATAAAAGGTCGATGAAATCGCCTCTTGTCCTGGCTTCATGATAGAGCAGCAGTCACCGCCGGAAAGCCATCTCTCCACCGAAACCTTTCACAAAGCAATCGCTCCGCTCTTCGTTTTCTACATACCCGGCCTCCACCCGCCACCCAAACTCACCCTCACTTCGCGTTAAAATGCACTTCCAAAGCTTCGTAAGACCAAACCCTCTCCTCAATTGAGTCTTGAAAGCAAGCTGTCGCTATCTAAGGGACTCTTCAAGCTAACCTTGCCTTGTTCCAAAGCTGCTCGCGGCCGCCATGAGCCTGCCCTTCTCCATGGCCGCTCCAGTCGCCGAAGCAGACACCATCGCCAACGCGGCAACTAGCAGCAGCAACCTTGAGGCTCGAGCCTGCCCCTACACCGGCTGGTACCAATGCATCAACGTCCAGACCAATCTCTGCATTGCCCAGTGTGCTTGGGCTGGCAAGGGTTCTGCTGTCTGCCTGTCCGGTTGTTCTGGAAAGGCAAATAGTGCTTGTGGCGCCTATGGCTGCGGCCAGTGAGCTCTACTAAGCGAGTCAAGAGATACCGAGTTAGAGAGGACGTGGCTTGGAATGGAGTTGAAGAGAGGATGTAAAAGTTGAGAAAGGGGTGATCAAGGGGACGATGAGAGGGGAGTTTATGGAGATGCTGCTGTTAGGTAGTTACTACTTCGAACTTGCGTCACTTAACCTTGCACACTTAACCCGGGGCATGTCAAATGCCTCATAAGGTACATCGGCCGGCTCCCGAGTAGAAAGTGAATTTGTATAAGTGATCAAAACAAAAAAAGAAGGCAGTCTGGATCCAAGACCCAAAAAAGTTTCCCCCTCACGGGATTGAACCGTGGACCTTCGCATGTCGAACAAGTACGAGTGCGACGCTCTACCACTGAGCCAAAGGGGCTCTCCGGGATTTCGAGTATCACGGACGGTTATATTGCACGCGCCAGCGTGAGTGAGCGTGAGTCAGTGCCGAGGCGACGGCGAGAAGGGCCCGGTCTGGAATTTTGGCGGCTCAGACACAACGATGTCATGTCAGGGACTCTGGCTGCTCGCGCAAGAAGTCTGGCTTATCAGGAGGCCTGTCGCCTCCAGTTCGGGCGGCCGTGGTCTGCCATGACCTAGTCGTTCCTCAGGGTGCATGATCTTTGCTGTCAATAACGACAGCATAGAGTTCTCAGGAAATCAACTTATACTGACTTTCTTCGACGTCTCTGTCCATGGAGAGCAGGTTAGAAGAGGCATACCATCATAGCCAGTCAACCAATCTCGACTAACTGGTGACAAGACGAGAGATACACGAACAAGGCACAATAAATCACATCATCATATAGGTTGTTTGTCTTAACGTTCCAATTCTGAGCGTCTACCTCATCTGTCTCATGATCATGACGGGCTAACTAGAATACACCCATACATCTAATATGGGGAGGCAATTATGGAAAACTTCCGAAGCCGCAATTAAAACCGAAAACCGTCCAACTCCGATGAACTTTTTCTCTGGTATCCCGTATTTTTCATCCCAAAGATCCTTTAGTCAACCTCCTCCATGGCGCTGTCACCAGTCTCGACAGCGGACGTGTCAGCGGCAGGAGCTTCGACAGTCTCCTCCTCCTCGTCAATGTTCAGGCCGAGCTGGACAAGCTTGTGGATGCGCTCGGCGAAGCTGGCGGGCTCGTCAATGGTGAAGCCAGAGACCAGGAGAGAGGTCTCGAAGAGAAGCTGGACGATAGACTTGACGGTGCGGTCGTTCTCGCCGTCGGTCTCGACCTTCTTCTTAAGCTCCTTGATGATGGTGCTCTTGGGGGAGATCTCGAAGGTCTTCTTGGAAGACATGTAAGAGGACATGGAGGTGTCACGGAGGGCCTGGGCCTTCATGATACGCTCCATGTTGGCGGACCAACCGAACTGGCCAGTGCGGATGGCGCAAGGGGCACCAGTGAGCATCTGGGAGACGACAACCTTCTCGACCTTGTCGCCGAGAACGTTCTTCAGGCTCTTAGCGAGACCCTCGTACTCCTTCTCCTCGGCCTCACGGGCAGCCTTCTCCTCCTCGGTCTCCTCGAGCTCGAAGTCCTTGGTGATGTCGACGAGCTTCTTGCCCTCAAACTCCTTGAGCTGAGTCATGGCGTACTCATCAATAGGGTCAACGAGGAAGAGAACCTCGAAGTTCTTCTCCTTGAGGGAGTCCAGGAAGGGAGACTTGGTGACAGCCTTGATGGACTCGCCAGTAATGTAGTAGATGTTCTTCTGAACCTCGGGCATGCGAGTGACGTAGTCGGAGAGGGAGGTGAGCTCATCGCCAGACTTGGTGGAGTTGAAGCGGAGGAGCTTGGCGAGGATGTTGCGGTTCTGGGAGTCCTCGTGGATTCCGAGCTTAAGGTTCTTGGAGAAGGCAGAGTAGAACTTGTCGAACTGCTCCTTGTCCTCGGCGATCTCCTGGAAGAGTTCAAGAGCCTTCTTGACGATGTTCTTCTTGATGACCTTCATGATCTTGTTCTGCTGAAGGGTCTCACGAGACAGGTTGAGGGGAAGGTCCTCAGAGTCGACGACACCCTTGACGAAGCCGAGCCACTCGGGGATGAGGTCGGTGGCATCGTCGGTGATGAAGACACGGCGGACGTAAAGCTTGATGTTGTTCTTGGTCTTCTTGGTCTCGAACAGGTCGAAGGGAGCACGCTTGGGAACGAAGAGGATGGCACGGAACTCGAGCTGACCCTCAACGGAGAAGTGCTTGACGGCAAGGTGGTCCTCCCAGTCGTTCGAAAGGGACTTGTAGAAGGAGGCGTACTCCTCCTGGGAGATGTCCTGGGGGTTGCGAGTCCAGATGGGCTTCTGCTTGTTGAGCTCCTCCTCCTCAATGGAAGTCTCCTTGACCTTCTTGGTCTTGGGCTTCTTCTCCTCCTCATCGTCATCGACCTCCTCGATCTTGGGCTTCTTGTCGTCACCCTCCTCGGTGGTCTCGGTGGCCTCCTCATCGGGGACCTCCTTCTCGGTCTCCTTGGTGACGTGGAGGTAGATGGGGTAGGAGATGAACTCGGAGTGCTTCTTGATGACCTCCTTCACCTTGGCCTCGTTGAGGTAGTCGGTCTGCTCATCCTTCAGGTGAAGGATGATCTTGGTGCCGCGGCCAAGGGCCTCACCCTCGGTGTCGGGGGTGATGGAGAAGGTGCCACCAGCGGAGGACTCCCAGACGTACTGCTCGTCGTCGTTGTGCTTGGAGACGACGGTGACCTTGTCGGCGACAAGGTAGGCAGAATAGAAACCAACACCGAACTGACCGATCATGGAAATATCGGCACCGGCAGTGAGGGCCTCCATGAACTGCTTGGTTCCGGAGCGGGCAATGGTACCCAGGTTGTTGACAAGGTCCTGAGGAGGTCAGCTACTGATCATTGCAATTGATTGGGAAGTGTTGGGAGCATGTGGTACTTACAGCCTTGGTGAAACCAATACCGGTATCACGGATGGTGAGGGTCTTGTTCTCCTTGTCGGGGATGATGTCGATTCTCAGGTCCTTGCCCGAGTCGAGCTTGCTGGGGTCGGAGAGAGACTCATAGCGGATCTTGTCCAAGGCATCGGAGGCGTTGGAAACAAGCTCACGCAGGAAGATCTCCTTGTTTGAGTAGACAGTGTTGATGATGAGCGACAGGAGCTGAGAGATCTCAGCCTGGAACTCGAAGGTCTCCGGGGAAGACATTCTGATGGAGTATGTGGGTATCTAGGGCGTAACGGTCGTAATTCTGTCAAGATTTGTTAGATGTTGTTTGGAAAAGGTGGTTGTGTGGCGGTGAGGCTGCGGTTTGTGGAGGGGTAGTAGAGCGGGGGGAGGGGAGCCTTGTCGCCAATTTCGCAGAATTGGATCTCCAAGGCAGATGGTGCAAAAATAATGAATCTCAATCGCAGACGAGGTTGACGCTTGAATTGCGAGATACCAAGTTCCAATCGAGAGAGAAGGGAGGGGTGACGCTGGGGGATGGCCAAACGGCATCGAGACCAAGCCGGGACAGCGGGGTGTGTTTCGGCGAGCTTACCTTGAGAAGAGCTTCTCTACGAATGCAACAGGTCTTTCGCTGCTACGAATCGACGATGGAAAGATTGATTCTTTTGGGGGAGTAGGAGAGAAGAGAGAAATTGGGAGAGAGAGAAAAGTTGAGATGCAAGGAAGAAGAAGTCTGAGAGTCAAGACGACGAGGGAAGAGGAGGAGGCTAAAAAAGAAAAAGGCGTCTGGAGTCCCGGTGGCCGGCTGGACCCCAAAGCAGAAAGGCAGCGACGCTCACCCCCCCAGCTCAAGAATTCTATGCGATTCCATCACCTCCAGGCCTTCCAGACCCTTCTCTGATTCGCTTGCCCTGCCACCACAGCAACCGTGCGGGGGCTCTGATTGGCTGATCTGCGGGGGCCACCGAGTGGGACGAGGGTCCCTTTTTTTTCTTGTGCCTTCCTCGCCTGCCTGCCGCCTGCCGCCTGCGCCTGCCTCCATAGCACCTCAGACTCAGACCAGCATGGAAAAGAAGAGAATCGCCATCCAATGCATTTGGGGAAGGGACGCCTTACCGCCATCCACTGAGGTGCGCTTGCCTTGTAAACAGCTTCAAGTGTATTTACCTTAGGTACCTCACCTTATGTAAGGAACCTCTTCTGTATGTACCTTACCTTAAGGTACTCTGTACCTACCTTATTTCGGAAGGTTGAGGAAGGCGTCGCTCTACCTAGGTACCTCACGTAGCGTCCGGTGGTCACAGCTTTTTGCCTTCCATTGATTCTCCCTTGCCTCCGTGCCTCCGTGCCTCCTTCGATGTGGGGATGAACAGTGTCTGTTTGTCCAGTCCAGAGTCTTCTTTTACTCCAGTTTTACCGCCTCCGAACGATGGATCCCCGTTCTCAATGTTCTCAAGCAGGAATCGACACTTCCACTGTTTGCTAGATACTTATGTTTGCTCCAAGGTCCATCTTGAATGGCTCGATGTCAACGCGGGCGAACTTGAGCCCAGCAACCAGTCGTCTGGCGTTGAAATACCCTTGCCACAAGTCCCACCCATCGACGAGGCTGAAAATAAAGCGCCACCCCTTCGTGAAATCTGCCCCGAGATTGGGTGCTGGGCTGCTGGCTTGAGTGTGCGGCGGCGCCTTACGGATATGCCAACACATCTCATCTCCCCCGCGTCCGAACCGCCCGCATCATTGGCAACGGCCAGGGGGTCGTTGCACGGTCCATCTCTTTTCACGACGTCTATTCTCGGCTTCAACTACAATGCCTGCCTGCCGTACTTCAATCGGGACCCGTTTCACACTGTTGCCAAGGATCCGCAGAAAGAGATGCTACTAGAACTTGCTCTATCCAAAACCTACCAGCAGACATTAAGACAGGCCAATTAACTCCCGTCTATTCACACTTTTTGACTCAAACTATTTAACTCTCAATTCAAGGTTAATTTCGACCACCCTCACCAATAGTTGCACATGGTTGGGCATATCTATGTAGACACATCCCGACACTGAAGAATAGGACAAGGGCGAGTTTCCAGGCCCGCGCTGAGCTGAATGAATGCTATTTTCTAAGGTATGCTAAGAGTGCTAGCCAGGTCCAAGCGGTGGTAGAACCACCCAGTTTCGGTAACCGCTCTATGCGGGATAAGCGAGATAAGCGAGGTACTAAGCGATGGGCAGACTGAACAGTGTGAAGTTGCAACGGCAATAGTCTACCTGTTAGGGCAGCCCGTTTTGCGGTCACAAGCATTCCTCCCCTTAGGACAAGGCTTGCCTTTCTTGGTGCGTGTGTCGCAACAATCGGCATCCTAGACAGAGAGCATGTCAGAAAGGTCCTCTGTGATGTCTTGGGGCAGAAGGGGCAGTTCATGAGGCTACTTACACACTGCTGCGGGGTGATTCCAAACTTGGCACAGTAATTGTCTGTGTCGCCGCCAACGTTGCAAGCGCCTTGCCTGTTGCAGGCATCTACGTTATCTTTACCGCCCCAGCAGCAATTGGGATCGTAGCTTCCTGCAATCATGCACTATATCGAGTGTTAGCGACTCTGCATCAAAGCTGGCCGAAGCGGAAGAGGTCGCCTACGCCAGCATTAACCGATGTAATGGTCATGGCAGTAACGAAGATAAACTTGATGAGCTGCATATTGGAGATATGAAGTGCTGCTTGAAGGCGGTTTTGAAGTAAGGTATTTTAGAGGTCGTAATAGTTGTGTTGTGAATGAAGAGTCGAGTGATTTCAACTTTTAGTCGACGGATGATCCGACCTTTATATAACATAAGATTCCATTGCAAAAATAATTAGTGCATCAATGCCACTCCTAGAAATAGGCCGCTGGCCTTGCTCGAGCAGGAGATACCGTTCTCGTGATATGAAACAGACTAGACTTCTTCATGCAATAACTATTGTTACTTCGCGGACTTGAGAGTGTGCTTGTCGAACCTCATAGAGAGACGAATAGGCAACATAAACTTTCACTAGTATCGATGGCCTTGACGGCCTTGATGGCCTCGAAGAAGAAACACCTAGAACAGGAGGTGAACAGACATACCAAAACCTACTTCTGCCATATTGATAATCACTCAAACCGACACGTATTTCTCTATTATTACCTTATACTTGATCATTTATTACTCAACGTCAGGCGGCACTCGGGCAGCTGAGCACAGTATGCAACGCGATAGACGCGGGTATTCCTACTGTCAACACAGAATGAACTGACTCGCATACCTACTCGCACGGTTGTAAACTCTATAAGCGATGAAATACGGGCCTTGGAACATGCTTCATGGATATTGTTTCCTAAACGAATGCTCTAAATCTGAATATTCTGCCTTGGTGGCCTGGAATAAGAAAACTTGCCGGACTAGGAAGTGTACCTGCATACCTTACTAAGTCTCGACGTGAACATGCCGACTATCAAAGGCAACTAGCTCGAACATTGGCACAATCAGTGTGCTACGCCGATGGACTCTGGGCACCCTTTAGGATGTATCAAGGCCGTAGTCTCATGGATTGGAAAGGGGCAAGCCCGAATATCAGGATTCTATTTTCAAGTACACACAGTGGTTTGAGCTATCTGAAAAAAAGTATAAAGCTCATCTGTCTTTGATCATCAGGATGACTTGGTACCAGTTCATTCTTATCTCACATCTTACACATCTACAACCAAACCTGATTCTATTCCTCAACCATGAAGTTCTCCTCAGTTATTATCAGCATCATCTCCCTGACGGTGGGAACGGCCATCGCCAACCCGGCTAGGCTTGAGAACCGACAGAAAGCCCCAGGAGTTGGCGACCCAAATGCTCAGTGCGATGGGAAGCATGACTGTTGCTTCAGCTCAGAAGCTGCCTGCTTTAGGCAGTACGGTACTCTTTCCGGCAATATTTACTGTCCGCTGCACAAGTATTGTGCTACAGACTATAATATCCCCCGCACCAAATGTGTAAGTAACACGATGAGAAGAATTAAAGGGCAGAACTGACGCGTAGTATGCATAGAACGCTGATTGCTGTTCAATCTCCAATGGCTTGGGCCGTGGGTGCCCGGGCAAATAGACGGAGTCGTTGCACTGTCTTTACTGGTGTTGGATCTCACATTACACTACTATTCAGGATAGCGGATGCATTTCGGGTGCCCTTATCTTAAATATGTCAGAAGTGGGGTGTGAGCTTCAAGAGACTCCAATGCGGTAGGCAGTGAAAAGCTTATGACGGGAAGAGAAGAACCTATGATCATGAAAGCGATTCGTAGCATTGTATGCATAGAATGAATGAACCTAGAGAATTTTATCTATCGGACTTGGCCAAAACCGACCTGTTTGATATCTCTCACCTGACGGTCTCTTGTGCAAAGCTGGTTGTTGGAAATAATTCAAAGCCCAGTTCATACCGTTAACAAAGCTCCCAGTGCCGATTTATAGCCGCCCTAACCATCCTCTTTGAAATCAATGGGCGGAGTTTCCCTCACATAGTATACACTCTATCCGCAATCTCTATACATGGGGTATGATACACAACATCTCCAACCTCAGTCTCCCGTCTTCACTTCTCTCCCTTCACCAAACACTCCCCCAGCGTCCGATACCGTCGATCAGCATAAACAAGCCCAAACCCCTCCCCTCCCCCCCTCACAACCCCCTCAACCTCCCCAACAACAACAACATGATCCCTAACCCTCACCATCCCCTCCCCAAGAGCCCGACACTTGATCACATACAACACCCCCTTCCCTTCAAGTAAAGGCGCCTCCCCATCCTCCTCAACAACCTCAACCCCCTCAGGCAACCCCTCAAACAACCCCTCCCCGGCACCAGCGTTCCCCCTCGTAAACAAATCCGCAACCCTCGCGCCCTCCCCTCCCTCTGCGAGAACATGCACATTGAAAACCCCGCCGCTCTCATGAATCGCATCGAGCGTCCGGCTCGGCGTCCGGACGTTGAACGTCACCAGCGGCACGGGCTCCATGCTCAAGCTCACGAAGCTCGACATCGTCATGCCCCTCGGCCGACCCGCGCGGTCCGTGGCCGTGGCGACGACGACCGAGTGCGCTAGTCTTCGCATCACGCCGCAGAGCTGTGCTGGGAGGTCGGCAATCGGGTCGTGGGTTGTCGTTGGGGGTTGATGGGGTTCTCTGCGCCATGTTGTCGTTGTTGTTGTTGGTTTCGACGGCGAGGAGGAGGGGGATAGGTTTAATGGTGTCGTGTGTATTGTTCGGTGGTGCTCGGAGGTCGATGGGTTTAGGCCGACGGGCCTTGCTGAATGTGACGGACGTTCATTCTGGGCTGAGGCAATGCGTTAGTTGACCATGGCCAATACAATGGATCGTGAACATGTCTTACAGCTTCCGACCAGGGTCCGCTGGACGCTGCCGCTTCCTCCGATCCTTGGCCGGACGACGCGGCGCAGCGCGGTCTCCAGCACACGAGCTCCGGTCATCGCATGCGCCGGAGCTTAGCCCGAAGTTGCTATACGGAATAGCCCGCAGTTGCTACAAGAGATGGGGATCTAAACGAAGAAATAAACGCGACAGCGAAGATCGACGCAGAGCTCGTCTATAGAGTTCCTCAAAGTAGATCAATGGCTCGTGGAGGGGAATAGACCACGTCAAAAGCTGGACTTCATACCCCCCTTGTAATGGAGGTAGCTCAAGCTCCCAGTGATGTAAATGGAACCCAGAAAAATTCCTTATCGATAAGGAAATCACATACCTCCTTCCCCCGGCCGGGCACACGCTGAAGTTGTGGACCCGCGCGCACGGAACTCCCCGGCCCTGACCAACCGAAATTTTGGTTTCCTCAGGTCGCGCGGTGCAGCCAAGGAGAATCGAGCCAATTGAGCCAGCATCGCCAAAAGCTTCAACAAATTCTCCTTTGCCCACGCGCGCGCTCCCTCCGCCCTTACGCACGTCGCAACCGCCCGCCCATACACCAAATTCCTCTCCCCGCCTTACGACCTTTGCTCGAATAAGCGATCCAATTGAGCTCCCTCCAACGCATCCCAGACCAGACAAACACCCGCGAAAATGGGCAAGCTCCCAACCCACCTGCCCAGGCCAACAAGCCTCCTCGCCCACCGACCCTCTCTCACAACCTCATCCTGCTCCGGCACCACAATCTCCGCCTCCTCACCGAGAATAGGTCTCCAAACCCAACAATCCCGCGCAGCAACCTTCATCCCCCGCCCCCGCCGCCCCTACACCTTCACCCAGCTCATCCAGCTCTCCGACGGAAGCACCTACACCGTTCGCACCACCTCCCCCAGCCCCTTGGTCCGCTCCGCAAAGGACTCCCGCAACCACGCCCTCTGGCAACCCTCCGACAAGTCCCTCAAGAACGTGGAAGTCGACGAGGCCGGAAAGTTGGCGGCTTTCCGTGAGCGTTTCGGTCGCGGGTTCGATTTGGCTGCCAAGAAGCCGACGGAGGAGGAGCTCAACGCCGCTGCTGCTGCGGCCGCAACTTCTGCAAAGGATACCGCTGCCGCTGGAAAGGGTGCCGCCGCAGGCAAGGAGGCTGCTGGAAAGGATGCTGCCCCCGCAAAGGAGGCCGCGAAGCCTGCCCAGCCGGCTGCTGCCCCCGAGGAAGACGACATCTTCGACATGGGCGATTTGATCAGCGGTTACGCTGCGATGCAGCCGCAGCAGGCTGCCAAGGAGCCCCCCAAGAAGGCGGCGGCACCGGAGAAGGGCAAGAAGGGAAAGAAATAAGGCAGCGCGAGGGCAGGACACAAAACAACCATCACCACCTGTCATCAGCAGTAGTGGCGGAAAGAAAGCTTGTACGATGCATAGAGCCGAATCATTGTATAAAATAAAGGGGAGATTTCACAGAGGACTGCCCGAGAGGGCGAACTAAAGCGTGGTCAGAGGAGGAGGTGGATTACGGGAGCCCCTTATACCCCCCGTGGGGTTTCTTCTACTGTCAGATATGTACAACAACCACAACTACTACAACCAAGAAAGGATAGGCTCCACAATGTGCACTTGCTGCCCAAACTTGATTCACACGTCATTCGTCCCAGTGCGCCGTGGGGTCGAAGAAGAAACCGCTGCTGTGATGCGTAGGTATAATGTAGTGAATCAGCGGACGCCGTGCCTCGGGCTTCTAGTCAGAGTCGTCGTTGATGGTGGCACGAGCCCTATCAATGGCCGTGTTACCGGGCGGCTTGCCCGAGGGTTGTATGACGGGCGGCCGGTAAAAGACCGTCTCGTCATCCTCGGCATCCAACTGCATGAGGAACGTCTCCCACTTCTCAATCAACTGTGAATGTGTCAGCCTCAATCCCATTTCGTGAATGTCGCGAATTGTCTCACCTCTTTTTGTGCCTCTACCGCACTCTCCAAGAAGGTCTCAACGCCGCTCTTGAAGTCCTCCACCTTTTCTCTCTCAAAGCGATCAAGCTCCGCCCTCATCAACCGACCCATATCCTCAAACAGGAGCCTGGCCTGGTGCACCTTTCTCTCCACGTCGCCGACCTCCGCGCTGACTTGGTTCAGCCTGTCCTGCTGGCTCTTGCCTTGCCGCAGGAGCTTGTCCTGGGAGGCCTTCTTCTTCTGCAGTTCTGACTCGGCAGAGTGCCACGAGTGGAACGCCTTTTGCCGCTGGCTGAATGCTTGCTTGACTGATCCAATCAGGCGGATGTACTCCTCGATAATGATGCCAAAGGTCAAAACATCCTGCTGGGCCTGACGGTCGTAGACATCGCGGATCGTCAGCTGCAGCTCGGACAGAGCATCCAATGGGCCCGACAGCGAGGGCGACAGCTCAACTGTGGACAGAGCATGCAGAGACGCCGAAAAGTCTCCAGCGGCTTCGGCCATCATCTTGCGCTGGCCAACCATTGTCTCCATGGCCTTGAGCAACGCCTTGAGCTGGTTCTCGAGCGCATCAAGGTACACCTTGCGGTCGTGGAACCACTGTTGACCTATGTCAGTACGTAGTTCTCCTAGTAGTCCCAGCGCACACTCACGTCATCTTGCTCGACAAACTTGCTGCTGCCACCGACGTTAATACCCAAACTACCGAGGACACCCTTGCTCTCTCCGGGAATCGGCTCTCTCCGCTCCTTGTGCTTGACGTCGACGTTGAACGATTCGCTCTCGAGGAACAGCTTCAGGTCGGCATCGTGCTGCAGGGTAGGGTGCGCAGCAGTCTTGTTCACCATCTTCTCCAAAGCGGCGCGACGTCCTTCGACGAAGTTGCTCTCGAAGCGACCAACAGCCTGCTTATCCGGCGGAGGCGGCACAACGACACCGGGGTTGTTCCCATGCAGCGTGTTGTACAGCCAGAGGAAGTCACGGTATCTGCGCTTTACCTCGAACTCGGGCTGCTTGTATGCCTTTGAGGAGGTCTGTCGTACACATCATGATTAGCGCGAGCTCCTCTCCCCCCCATCCCCGCTTCGCCAATGGAAGAGCTTCATCTTACCTTGGTCCTGACCGAGTAGACGATATGCGAGCTGGTCAAGTCGCCAACCTTGTGCGGATCGCCCACCGTGATCTGGAAGCTCGGCTTGCTAGCCTGCTCGACGCTGACGCTAGGCTGAGTATGCGTCCGCACCGGGCTAGGATGCGCAGCCTGAACGGGCGGCGGCTGCCTCGGGCCAGACGGACGGTCGTAATCGTCCTCGTCAATGTGATGAGGGTCGGAAGGACCGGCGCGACGGCCCTGCTGGGGCTGCATCGAGGTGCGGATCACCATCTGCTCCTTCTGCGGCGGGACGGGCGGAGCATCCTGACCGGCTTCGGCGCCATTGTCTGCGGCGGCGGGAGCGCCGAGGGGACCCAGAGGACCGAGGGGATCGTCGACAGCTTCGAGGCGGGTAGGTTGGGCGGAAACGAGGCGGCGGACAGGTCCCGAGCGTGAAGGGCGAGGTGCGGATGCCGTGCTGGGTGCGTCTGACTTGGCCGCGGGCTGCGACGACGTCGACTCTTCGCTCTGGGAGGGTTGCTGTTGGGTCGAGGGCTCGGAGGTGGGTTGCGAATCGCCCCATGGCGACTCTTCGAGGGGATCCATCCTTTCGGTTGCTCGATGCGCCAGTGGCTGTGACAATTTCGTGAGAATGGAATCGGGTTTAAATGACCAGTCTATGGAGTACCACGGAAAGCGGGCGATGGTTGAAATGGTAAGTTGAGGTGAGGTGGGATGTGGTCTGGCAAAAGGCAAGGCAGCACAGTAAGGTAAGGTACACCCAAGGCACGGCCGGTTCTGGGTGTGTCTGACTGACAGAGGCTCAATGCGAAAGGTGCGCAGCTGCTCCGCACCACCTGATTCGCTGTGGCCCTTTGGAAGCTTCAGCCACTCGACCTCGATTGGGACCCCAAAGCCCATCAAGGCCCCTGTAACTTGTAGGTACCTACCCGGCCTGCCGTAGGTAACTGAGGTACCTAGCGGTTGCGGTCAACGACACTGTTCCAGTCTCGACTGACACCGGGTAATCGTGGTGCTAATGTACCTGACCGAGACGTGCCACGAACAAAGATACAATTCAAAGCGAAGCATTCACATGCATTTTGCTTAGAGCACGGGCAAATTGGCTTCATAGCCTTCCCAATTGACTAGAGGTATCTACTACATTGATGATTTACACAAACCAGTAACCAGGCGATTTTGCTGTCCCAGACCAGGATTACCTCGCCCAAATCACATTTTGTCGACTATCGCGACCCCAACGCCAAACTCAAGATGAAGACAGTCTGATTCTTTCCCTCCAGAGGATCCCGTGCCGCTTAACGGTCGGGATCGTAGCAGCCACCAGACACGATGAGGTTCATACGGGTGAACTGCACCTTCATGACGGGCGTCTTCTTGGTCGGGAATGCACTGATCTGGTCGGGCGTAATCATAACCTCCTTGCCCTTCTTCTTTCCGCCACTGGGAGCATTGGATCCACTGCCAGTCGCTCCCTGACCGCCAGCATTCGGGCGCTCTGTCTGTCCACTGGCCGCAACAATGGTGTCGCCTCCCTCTTGAGCCGGCGCCGCTCCTTGCTGCTGCTGGGCGGCCTTGTGGCCCTCAGCGGGGAGCTCAACATCCCAGACACGGACAGTGCCGTCTTGGCCGCCAGAGACAAGAACGTTGGACTCGACGCTGAAGCTCATGGACCAGATTCCACCTTTACCGTGGCCGCGAGAGCGCTTAATGCGAAGGCCCTTCTGGATGTCCCAGAAGAAGATGTTGCCACTGCAATCAGCCGTGGCCAAGATTCTGCCGTTGGGCGCGACCTCAATGGTGGAGATGTAGTCCGTGTGACCGGTGAAGACACGCACGCACTGGCCGGTGATGACAGACCACATGCGGACTGACTTGTCCGTCTCGTCGGAAGCCGAGAACACATAGGTTCCGTTCGGGTGCCAGGCCACAGCCGAGATGCTGGAGTCGTGGCCGACGAGAATACGCTGCGCGGATGCGTGATCCTGCATCCAGACACGAACAGTCTTGTCCCAGCCGCCAGTCAAGAAGTAGTGGCCAAAAGGACCCCACTCGGCTCTCAACACCGGACCATCGTGGCCCTTGTAAACGCAGACGCAGGCCCAGACATCCAGTGACCACACTCGAACGGTGCCATCCGCAGAACAAGACAGTAGCAGCTTAGAGCTCGTCTCGATGGGGGACTCACCCTTGCCCTCCTCGCCAAATGGCGCGTGCTCGAGCTTGGCAATGGCGTCGGAGAAGGAAACTGAGTACACCTGAGCCGAGTGACCGATAAGCTTGCGGTTGTTGAACTTGTAGTCCTTCTCGTCGTTACGCTTCGACTTGAGAGGCTTGCCCTCGAGATGCCACACTCGGATGTAGGAGTCCGTGGTGCCAATAGCAACCATTTCGTGGTCCTTGGAGAAGTCCATACATGATACACTACACCTATTTGTTAGTCGCATTCAGCAGATAAAAACATACTACTTGCCTGCCTAAAGTGTTGTGGAAAGTGAACATGCACGCGCTGACAGGAACGCCGACGCCTCCAGTACGTCCATCAATCTTGAAGCGATCACGGTTCTCTCTAACCTTTTGCATCTCCATGACAACGTCTCTGGCGCGAGATGGAGGCAAAGGCAGGTCCGCTCTCGTGGGACCATCAGCACTCTCTTCACGCTTGATCTTGCGGTCGAACTCGTCTACCAAAGTAGCACGGCCATCGGGCGGGGGGTTGAGCGCATCCTCATCCTGGAGCTCGGCCCTGACATCGTCGCGAAGGTCCTCCTCCATTGGCAGAGGGCCCAGCTTGAGAGGCACCGTCTTGTCCAAAAGGTCCCTGTTTGAGATGCCGGTGAAGACTCCAGGAATACCCTCTTGCAGATCCACCTCGTCAATGTCGAGGTTCTGGGATCGGCGGTAAATCGCCTCGAAGCTGAAGGGCTCGATGGGGCCACGGGCCGTTGAGTCCAGCTGGCAGAAGGTTGAGAGGATGTACAGGATAACAGCGCCGCCATTGTCCCGCTCGCGCTCGAGGAAATGGAAGAGGTTGCCACTGATGTGCTGGTTGAGCGGAACGCGGTATTTGTTCTCTCTGTACAACTTGGTGGTAGGGTTTTCCTTGGCGTGCAGAGTCAGTGTAATGGTGGAGAAGGTCTTCAGATCGTCGGAGTGGACATTCTCAAAGTACGACTTGAGGTTGTTGAGGATGATCTTGGCTTCCTCAGAGTAGTTCTGAGTGACGAGCTCGAGCCACGAGTAGACGAAGACAGGCCAGAGAAGCTTGTTCAACTCGAACTGTAACAGGTTAAAAATACTGAACCGCCAGAAATGACGAACCACTGAGGCTTACCTTGTAGATGTCAAGGTTGTTCTCGACCCACTCACGGAGCAAGTTAAATGCCTTCAGGTACTTCTTGGGACCCAAATCATCAACCTTATTGTGAATGGGTCTACCGTCAGGGCCCAAGTGCGAAGACTCTTGGCGAAAAATGGTTTCGGTACGGGTGTATCCCCGCTTCAGGAGATAGTCTGTGACCTAGAAACTGTCAGCGATGTCGGGGAAAGCATTAAAATGGCAAGTCCGCGCGATCGCACTTTCACTGCCTTCGTAGTCTCTGTGTCTTCCGGAGTGAATATGCTTGCTCTCTCGCGCCGAAGATAAGTAGAACGTAGAGAGGAAGGAGAGAGGATGAAGAGAGAGGAGTAGAGGACTCATGATCAACATAAGGAAGGGGAGATAAGGAGGGTGTTAGGAGAGAGGCAGTCCTCTTCCACGAGAATCCAGAAGCCACGCCGCCTTGACCTACCATCTCAAACTTAGACACTCTCTCTTGAATGGGACTGGCCATTGTCTTCAAATTCCTGGATTTTGATGATTTTCCGACGTGAAAGAATAATAAAGACGAATGGGATGGTGGGTGAGTTGGATGGTGATGGTGAAAGGTGATGGATGAGGAAAGGCAAGCAGAACCAAACACACAAAGAAATGTGAATTGGCAACTACCCACGAGATGGGTTTGTTTCTGCGATTCTTCCTGAAGATGGAAGAGGCAATTACTGTCCTTTTGTTCTTTGCCCTCGAGGAATACACGATCCTCACCCGCCGATCCCATCCTTCACGGTTTCAACAGCACTTGCCTTTACCTCTAGCCGTCGACCTCGGTCACCACACTTGTAGCAAACGGGACCTTGAGCCGTCCCCCATCCTCATATAATCCATAGAGCCCAAAGAAAAATACTAATCGAAAAAAATCCTCACTTACAATCTGATTCAGATTCTGATTCGACATCGGCGCAGTAGCCGGCGCCGGCGCCGGCGCAGGCGTAGCCGTCACAGGAGGCGGGATCGGCGTCTGGCTAGTCGGGACAGTAGGAGCAGGAATAGGCGTCACCGTCGCCGGTACCGTCGACGCAGCTTGTTGTTGTTGCTGCTGCTGAGGCTGTTGTGAAAAGGATCCCGACGCGCCTGTGCCTGCTGCGCCTGCTGCCGCTGCTGGTGCGCCTGGCGTGGTGCTGGCACCTGGTTGAGCCGGGGTTCCCGACATTTTTTACAGAACAATTTCGATAACGTTTGAATGCGCGAAGTAGTTGTAGATGAAAATTCTGGTTTCGAGTTGGTGATGCGCTTTTCACGTCTCTCGGCGCATTGGTCGTGAACCGGGCGGGTGAGACGTGATCGTGAGTCGTCGAGCTAAGGTCGGGTATCCGGGGCGGAAACCGAGGCCGCAATCTCCAGGTTTCTAATGAGCGTGTTTCTCTTTGGCGGCGGTGACTATCAGCAGGTAGTGCTTCAGATGCGAAGTTCCGACTTTTGATGATAGAATTCGATGAGATGTCGTCGAACGTCGCGTCCAGCCCCGATGAAATGAGGCTCGTTCATCTCCTGCAAGGCTGCAAAGGAAAGGACTTGAGGTCAAGGTTGGCGGCGGAAAATATCTGGAGAGGACGGCGCTAAGCCTTTCTGGGTATGGTGCATGCTTCTCTGGCCTCAGTCATTGGAAGAGAGCTTCGACCTTCCCCGTGGCCGGGCCCACCTTTTTTCAACTCATACGCGACTTCTTGGAGCTCACCTGCGAGCTCGAGCACTCACTCACTCACTCACTCACTGCTCATCTCACTCACTAAACCTGAACCTATCATCTCACGAACTACACTCCTAAAAGACCACAACCCACCCACGATACCATTTTCTTTCCAACTCCTCAAGCTCACCAATTGCACACTTCGCTCTACCACCAAGAATCCGAACTCGGCTCACAATACACCAACATGGCAGACACAACAATGACAACAGACGCCCCCCCAAACGAACCATTCACCCTCCAAGAACGAATCCAACAACTCTGCGAAATCGACACCCAAATAGTCTCCCTAATGTCCCACACCTCATCCGCCCTCTCCGCCCTTGGCGCAGCCCCAAAGCCCTCCCCACCATCAGATCCTTCAAACCCATCCGTTCCCCCTCCACCATCCTCCTCCTCTCAAACCCAAACCTTCAAAACATCAATGGACGCCCTCCTCTCCACCCTCCACACAGTAGACGTCCACATGAAGCGCCAAATCCTCGCCCTCGAAGAAGCCTCCATCATCAAGCTCCGCAACGACGCCGACCCCAAAACCCGCCAACCCGTCATGAACGAGGACGCCAAAATCGTCGCGCGCCCCTCCCTCGAGCCCAACGGCGTCGGCACCATTGGTAACCTCGACGTCGGGTGGCTCAACAGCCGCAACAATAAAGTCGAGCGCGACATGGAGGCCGAGTTGTGGGCCAAGATGAGGGAGTTGCTGGAGCGGTATCACGCCAAAGAGGTAGCTGAGGGGGCTGGTGGCAGTGGTATTAAGGATGAGAGGATGCAGGAGTGATGGAAATTTTGGCAGTTTAGCGGAAGGAAGCCTGGGAAAGGACTGGATGGCTCAGAGATGGGAGTCTCATTCACTTCATACCAAGGTGGTATGAGAACGAGAAGAGGAGCCTTTGGTAAAAGGTGTGCTCTTTCCAGCAGACTTGCTCGGTAAACCAATAATTGATACCCTGTTACATAAAATCACCCGCAACCCATGGGATGGATGGAAGGTATCAAGAGGCATGAAAAAAGCAAAAGCTCAGGTACCCAGTCCGTAAATCGAACTGAGCCCCTACGAAATCCTCTATCCGTTGACTTCTCGAGACTTCGTACCAAGTTCTGTACTAACGGACCATGGCGTTATACCGCTCGACCATGAAGATCGAGTGGGCTTGGTTGAAGAAGGAGCGACCTCAACCTGAATGTAAGGCAAGCTACTCGACGCAGGCCCTGAATCCGCAGACCCAATATACACAATTCTCGAGGAATACGCACCCATAACCTCCGCAACACGGTTGAAAACGATTCGACAGCGTATGCTTGAATGACAGGGGCGTTTCCCGAATGATACTTCAAATTGATACCTATTACGCATGCTTTCGTTACCCGTCCGCAGCTTAGCCACCAGTGATTATGCTGTACCCCATGATCGCATGCTAACGTGAAAGATGCCTCTCGAAACGCCATCCAATGAACAAAATTCAAGTCGCCAACCACCATGAAGCAAAACACTATTCCAGCTCTCCATGGGGCCATTCATGTACCAGTCTAGCCATGGGCCCGCGCGTCCTCCCACACATTTCCACAACATCCAGTGACAGTGAAGTAGTTCGAATATCCGCTCAGGCCCTGAAGCGCTTGTATGCCTTGACCAGGCCGACGTCTTGCTTTGTGACGGCGATCCAGTCCGGGGCATATTGCAAAGCTTCGTCCAAGGCAGGGATTGTCCCGCGAACGTTGGCATCACTCCAAGAGCATGAAATTATTCCGCTGAATCCTGCAGGCTTTCGAACCCGGCGAATCCGAAGTTCCTCGTGTTCCTTGGGAGTCTCCTCGTGAACTGACTCCGCGGGCTTAGCCACCGAGGACTTGGCGGCTGGTTTGACGTCAATCGTCCATGGAATAGACGAGTCTCTCCGCCAGAGCGTGATGCCGTTAATGCCCCCTTCAGTAGGTGTGCTGAAGAGGGAATCGATACCGGCGCTCTCCCGAACGTCAAACGTCACGGCGTCGTCGAAATCGAGAACACACTGCTTTGACTCTGGGGCATCAATGCAAAGCTCGTACTCATTAGTCGAGTTTGAGTAAGTGATGTTAACAGTCACGAGATGTGCGTATGGATCCTTTGAGGACACGAGTCCGGAAGAGGAGGTGCTCTTAAGCTCAGGCAGTCTGGGCAACACCGCAGATCCATCAAACCGACAATCAGATAGCAAGCCAGCGGATGGAGTGCAAATGACTTCTCGGCCTGCCGCGGATGGCAACTCGTTGATCATTTTGCGGGCGTACTTTTGCAGGCCTAGAATGGAAACTGTAGAGTTTCCATTGTCCAGATCCAGGCGTTGAATGAACTTAACTTTATAGCGATTGTTCGCGGAGAACGGGAAGGCGGCAAGGTTGTGGATGAGACTGATGATGAAAATGAACAACAGGGCCAGCGGCACGTAGGAGCTCGTCCTGTGGATGAATGGGGTAAGAGGCAAAGAAATCATGATACTGAAGACGGCGATCGCGGTATAGAGAAGCAAAGGGTCCACACCATCGGCGCCAATGGACTGCATGGCCGAGGTGATGAACAGGGCAACTTGGAGGAAGACGATGATGGTGATCGGAGCGAGCAGAAGCAGTTGGAAGAACCAGGTCCAAGATGGGAGCTTCGCTGACCACGGCTGTTCTTTCTCATAAGGCTGCTTCTCTCTCGTTTCCTTAGTCTCTTCCTCCTCGTCATCTGGGTTGGACATGATGGCAGAGAGCGAGCGTCGGTAGGTTGTTGCGAATGTCGTGCGTATTGTGCCATTGTTTCCACTGCCATTCTCGCCACTCCTAAGCGGCGTTGTTTCCGTGGGCTCTTCTGTGGTTCCCTCTTCGTGAGGGCTAGGAGAAATAAGAGCATCGGAGTTGGGAACCTCGGATATGTTATCCCTGGACTGCTGATCGTCGTGAGCCGTCTCTGCGTAGGCTCGCTTGCTCGGGAGCGCGAAAAGGTCGCAGAGAGTGATGAGCGTTGCAACAAAGACGGCGGAATGGAAGAATGCAAAGAGATATCCCGAAGCAATCTGGAATCTGTCGGCAGCGGTCGTAACAGCAACGAGGATAGCCCAGCTCAAGATGAAGAGCCAAATGTGGGCATAACCGCGTTGAAGAGCGCTCGGCCTGACGGCGTTGGCGCCCCGCGAGATTGTCCAGAATACGAGGAAGAACGCAGACAAAGTCATTGCCCAGCTAGTAGTACAAAGCGTCAGCACGGAAACGTAGGGTGGAGTTGACTTGGACTTACACTGCATATGGACTGCTGGAAACAACCTCGGGGTTGAGTCTCCGGACCAAGAGGGCAGAGAGGACGGTAATCGCGCCCGAGAAAGTCAGGGCCAAGGGGAAACGGAAGAAACCCTTCCAGCCTCCAAGAGGGACCGATTCGTCGTCAATGTCGACCTTGACCTTCCTCGAGAAGAAGTAGTACTTGTCCTGCCTTGACAGGATGTAGGTAACGAGAACCAAAATTAGGGGAGACACAATGAGCAGAGTCAATGCCCACGCGAAGAGGCCACGAAGCTCAAGAGTGGCGAATCCCTTGCCAAACATGTCGAACCAGACGCCCTCTGTTCCGGAACCGCTCGAAACCTTCTTCTTGTCTCCATCATTGCGCTTACCGGTGAAGGAGCCCGAAGTCTTCTGAAGAGAATCAACAGCAGCCAAGCCGTTGGAAAGCATGTGCCAAAGGCTCTCTTGCGAGGCATGTCGGGTATCGTCTTGGTTAGTGTGGTACCGCGCTCTAGGTCGGTAGAATGCAATGTCGAGGCCGCGCTGACCAAAGTTCTCGACCCACACCTTGTAATCCGTTTCGCTCTTAATCGCTCGAAGTTTGAAGCCGTCCGCAGCAACAACGGATCCAAAGGGATGAGGAGCATTTGCGTAAGGCTTGGATACCTCCAAGTCAGTGGTTCTGAAGAGTATGGCTCGCCCACCCGCACCGGCACCCTCGAGATTCACGAATGAGGTTGTGAAGTAGTAGAGAGGGCTGTAGTGGTAGGCTTTGGCTCCGTACAGGCCATCCTCTTCGCCGTTGTTGAGCAACAGTACGATTCCACGTTTGGGCTGCTGGCCAGGAGAAGTGAAGTAGTTGAGCATCTGAAGAACGCTTACACAGCCCATGCCGTCGTCAGTGGCTCCATAGCCGGTGGAGACCCTGTTCGTCTATCAGTATGAGGGTTTAATATAGCAGCAATACCACTTACGAGTCGTAATGAGCATTGACGAGAACGCCGCCCTGGCCAATATTGCCACGTTTGCCCTTCCACCATTCACCGTCCTCGTCTTCTGTGCCGCGGATATACACAAGCTTGTTTGTGCCCTCAAAGTAAGTGGCATGGGCTGCAGAACCAGGTTGACCGAGTGGGCCAGAGGTGCCAGCGTAGGTCACATTTGAGATTATGTCGTCGAAGACGGTTACGAGGGGGCCAGTCGAAGCACGCTCAACGGCATCTTGGCGTGGAAGAGCTGGTGTGCCACTGCAACAACCTCCAGTCAGCACATTTTCTCGGCACGAGAACCAACACACGGAATTCACTCACTGGGCATCCTGAGGCCAGACAACGCCACCTGCATCCTTTTCCATGGAATAGTCGACTCCGTTGCGTTTCAAAATCTCCTCGATCCGGGTCAGGAGGTATGCGCCCACTTCGTCGTTGGCACGGCTGTTGTACGGGTGGTAGTTCTTGGTGATGTGCGTCAAGTCCTGCCATGCCTCGGTTACATTGACGCCAGTGTAAGGATTGTGACTAGAAACAGACGGCACGGATTCGTGAATCCAGACGAGGGGGACGAGGAAGGCTGCGTAGACGACAATCAGCCAGAAAGTGACCGGACCCGTCGTGAACCCGAAGGGGTTCTTGGCAGCCATTGCTACCGAAGGTTGCTGGGATTGTCCGATGGAGTAATCGGGACCGTGTCACTGAAAGCTTCGCGATGTAGCTGATACGATCTCGAGTCCTGACCGACGACACGAAGAGGCTACGGAGCTCCGAGTCTTACAGCTTCGTTCTCGGAGAAAAGGCTGCGGAGATGCCGGGAGCCTGCTCAGTAGAGGGGTTGCGTGAACGAACCCTCGGAAGCTCAGATAAGGCGAAGCGATAGATAATTGCGACTACCTAGTGTTACAGGGCTTAGAGGCGCGATAAATGGATGGGCTTGGGAAACCCTTGCGAAACAACGATAGCAGTCGATCAGCGGGGAAAACGAACGGGTCACGGAGGAAGCTGACGAGAAATGGATAATGGCGAACAAAGGCGACGAAACAAAATTGTCAGCCAACGGAAGGGAAGTTCTGCAAGTGGGATGAAGGATGAAGGAGGCTGGAGGTGGAAACGCCGCGCTCAGGGTGTGGGAAGGCGTCATGCCAGATCTGGGACAGACACTGGACGCACCTTCCTGGCCTAGGATGATGCGCAGTGGGGAAGAGCTGCCTGCTGCTGTTGCTGCTGTTGCTGTGCAGTACCTTAGGTGGCCCAAGCTCCCTTCCTCTGTTCTGGAGCGCCAACGGCGGCCTTCATTCGAGCCTCAGGTCGCCCACCCACCCACCTCACATGCAAGGCAAATGTCATCGATGCGGGGAACTTATGCAACCTCCCCCAGAAAACTTGCGACTGGCTCTCTTCAATCTTGGCCCGTTGGAATTTGATTTGACTTGAAGTGGTGTTGGACATCGAGATATCGTAGCGCCACGATACAGAGTTTCGGTGACAGCTTGAGTGGCTAGCCATCCTGAACTCTCCATTCTTTTGCCCTCTCCAGCACTCGGATCAGACTCCGATACAGCGCTTTGAGCTTTCAAGTGTGTCACAAATAACTTCACGTGGACAGGCTAGGTTTCCTCAATTGGGATGAACTTCATCTTTTGGCTATGAAAGAAACGCACCGATGCATAAAGAAAAGCCTATGGATTAGTGTCCACTAGAATTCCCGTTCCCAACCTATCGTACAATTTGCTTTCTTGTCTTCGCTGTTTTGTTGATTCTGCTTTTTTGCGTTAAGTGCTTGCTGCCCACACTGTGGTCTTCAAATACTCAGGCGAGAAAAACACGTCGATGCGTAGGTGCGAACACTTGTCCAACCCTGGAAGTCATGGTATGAATCCTTGGTTGTTAGTTGAGCGTTAGTTGTCAACGTAGTCGGTGTGCAGATGCGAGCTTGGCATCAAAGTTAGTCGTCTGATCTACCACCTAGCTCCCTCAAGACACTTCAGGCACCAGGGGGAGGTGGGGGAGGTTGGTCGCTGGGAGGCGGAGGAGGAGCATTGTCCGAAGGAGGCGGGGGAGGGGCGCCTCCGGCATACTGCTGGATGAGTGCGTTGAGGCCACCAGCCAGACCTGGGGGAGCTCCAAGACCAGGGGCACCAGGAGGCGGCGGAGGGACGCCAGATGGCGGTGCGGCCATGCCAGGAGGAGCACCGTATCCCGGGTATCCACCGTAACCACCGTAGCCGTTCTGGGTTCCGGGAGGCTGATGCCAGGGAGCGGCACCGGGAGCGGCACCGGGAGCAGCGCCAGCAGATTGACCACCGTAGCCGCCTTGGCCGCCACCGCCATAGTGGTCACCGCCGCCGTAGCCGCCATGGCCTCCATTGTGACCGCCTCCGTGGTCATCACGACGGTTGCGATCGCGAGCCCAAGGAGCAGGACCACCGCCACCGCCACCACCACCGTCACGGTCGCGGTCACCACGATCGCGATCATCGCGCGAGTCGTTGTTACGGCTGCGCCAAGGAGCAGGACCGCCGGTAGGGCCACGCTGCCAGGGCTTCGCATCACCGCCGCTGGGTCCGTTGTTATTGTAGGAACCAGGGCCGGCTTCGATGCGTGCAGGTGCAGCGCCACCGGCTGAGCCGCCGCCGAGTTCTTGCATGAGTTGCTATCGCAAAGTCAGTTTTGGGTTTGTGAAATAAGGTATGCAGAAAAACGTACCTCGTACTCGCGGTCGACCGCGTCTCCGCCTTCAATGCGGCCAGCCGAGCCAGCTCTGCCGGCGCCGTCATTGCGCCAGCTGGCACCCTTCTGTCTGTCGGGACAATCTCTAGCCATGTGTCCAGCATTGCCACAGACGCGGCAGATGATGCTGGCAGTGTAGTTCTGGCGCTCGGGACAGTCGTACTTGCGATGACCGATCTGGCCACAGTTCTGGCAAGCCTGGTTCTCGTCGTCACGGAGGGTACCGTTGAGGGCAGCAAGCTCGCGAAGCTGGTTGCGCTTGAGCTCGTTCTGTCCTTCGGGAATGGACGCGGCCTAGCAGAAGAGAGTTGTCAGCATTCGCTGCCAATTGTCATTGAAAAGGTGGGGGGGGGGCTTACGGTTTCAATGACGTTGTGGATGAGTTTCTTGGCCTTGTTAACCTTCTCCTCTGTATCGGCCATGATGAGACAGTGAAGATCCTCCTCCTGGTTGCTGGCGTGAGCTGCGTCCGAACGACCTTTGCCCTCCTTGACTGAGCCCTTGCCGCGAATGGCAATCTTGGCGCCAGATTCTCCCTCCATCTTCTTCAAAGTGTTGCCACGGGGTCCGATAAGTAAGCCGACTTTACGACAAGAGCTAAGCGTTAGTGTCTGTATCAAAAGGGTGAAGCAAGTTATATGACGGTCCCAGTCTCCAAACAAGGCCAGGTCTGACAAGACACCTGGAGGATGCATGACAAGCTTGGCCAGAGTCCAGGCAGGGAACAAGGGAAACAAGAAATTTTGGTTAGGGTTAGAGGGTTAGCAATCATACTGAAGTTAATTTCTGGGTAATCGTTAACAGGCACGTAGACCTTCTCTTGGGTCTTGGTGGGCCTGCGGTAGTCCTGTGGCGGGTGGTAGTTAGGGATGGTCTTCATGGCCTTTTCGATGAGCTTGTGGCGCTCGTCTTCGAGGCGCTTGCGGTATCGGTACTCGCGCGTGTTGATACGGCGACCATGGTTATCGTACTGGGGAGCAGGAGAGGGTGATCTGTAGACAGTGGCAGTTAGCGAGGTGCTGCGCATTGCTTGACATGTGTGGACAACGTACCTGTCTCCATCTGCGGGAACGACGTCGTCGATGCGAAGCTTCTGGCTAATTTCCGTAATACGGAGATGAAGGGTGTAAGCCTCCAACTGCTCGCCGGTCATGTTCGCCGTGATGGCCGTCGTCAAGCCCATCAATCCGGCAGCCTTGTTTTCGGACGCGTCGCCCCAACGGTTTCTCTTCTTTCTGCGGCGAGGGCCATCGGCGTCGGTACCTAGAAGCGACGTTAGCATGTGCTATGGTAGAAGGAAGAGACTGCAATGCGAAGACTTACGAGGCTCTGGGCTGCGACCGCGCTTCAGCTCTCCGTTGCCATTGCTGGGGGGAGCTTCCTGGAACTCCTCTTCACCACCATCGTCGCCGCCGAACCGACGCTTTCCCAACGGGATGTTGTTGGAACCCGTGATTCCCTGGTTTCTCCACGACATTTTGACTGATGCGCGATGGCAAGCAAGCTGTCAGTCAGAGGGAATAGCGTGGTGTGATGGTAATTGTGGATTTCGATGGTTGAGGGAAGGGAACTTTTATATGGAACCGTTGCAATAATATGGGAGGGCCCTGACTGATCAGGAACCTTTCAGCCTGGCGTCTTCTGTCCTTCAGCTAAGGGGCGGGAGCCAATTGGCCCGAAATTTTGGGCGCCACCGAGGCGGGCCCGATTGGGAAGCTGGATAGGTGCACGTGACAGCCAAAGTCCGATTCCACAGACACAGACCGAGAAGAGTACTAGCGCCAACGGTCTGTCGAACCTTCGTCTCCAAAGCACAATAAACAGAAAAAGAAAAGGGCAACTGGTTAACCCCAAGCAACGAAGCTTGCAAACCATCCCAAAACCTGCAACTTAATGATATATCACTTGCGCCAGCAGCAAAACTTCAAATTTGTCAAAAACATGATCAGTGGGAGGCTTGAACTCCCGGCCTTGGCATTACACAATATTTCGAGTGAAATATTAGTACCACGCTCTAACCAACTGAGCTAACCGACCCGATTGGACTCATTCAAGCTTGAAAGCCTGGCCGGTCTCCAGCCTCATGAAGGTCGTAGTTTTGGCGTGGCTCGCAATTGTGCTTTGTTCTTCAACGATATCTATCCTTCATTATTCAGTAGAAAACAACATGCTAGTAGTTGAATGTTAAGTTTTTTTTCTTTGTTCATCGGTACTTTTCACGGCCCGCCCGTTCCCTCGAGCATCACCACGCACATGATACCCTCACTTCTTGGCCGCATCATCCTTCATCCCCTGCTGAATCCACGCGGCAGCCCCCTTGGCCTTCTCATCGAGTTCCTCCTCCGTCATCTTGAAGTGATCCAGCGCCGTGTGCTTGGATGGCACGTGGCGGCCCTGCTCGAAGCCGGGCCTCTCCACAAGCTTGAACAGCCATTTCTTGAGCGCGGGGAACTCGTCCAGGTCGATGCCCGCCCACTTGCTAGCCGCCACCCAGCCCCAGCTAGTGATGTCGGCAATCGTCACACGGTCACCGACGAGGTAGCCGCTGGGGTTGGCCGCGAGGGCTGTGTCCATGGTGCGGTACAGGCGGCGGGTCTCGTTGGTATAACGGTCGATGCCGTACTGGATCTTCTCGGGTGCGTAGCCTGTGCGAGAGTCAGCGTATGAGTAAAAGATCGTGGGAACGATCGAGAAGTTGGCGCACGTTTGAAGTGGTTGGCTTGTCTGAATACTCATTAGCTCGTCGTCATCTCATCGGAAGTGACAGGCAACTTACCCCTGCATGGGACCCAGGCCACCCATCTGCCAGTGCAGCTACATCTCTTGCGTCAGCTTCATGGCACTCGTGGTCATGTGTAGGTAGATCATACCCAATTGTTCACCTCCCAGTACTCGCGCGAGCCATAGGGATAAGAGACCTTGTGGTCCTTGTCGTAGCGGTCGACGAGGTACTGCAAAATACTCCCCGACTCAAACAGGCGGATGGTCTTGCCATCCTCAAACTTGTCGGTCAAGGCAGGGATACGTCCATTGGGGTTGATCTCCAGGAACCAGGGCTCCTGCACTCGTGCATTAGCATAATGGCCTCTAAAGGGGTTGGAAGTAGACCCTCAGTCCCCGGTACAACTGGGCATCTCGGAAATGCCAACCTTTTGCGTGTTCTTTGAGATATCAATGGGCGTGACCTGGTACTCCAGGCCGAGCTCCTCTAGGAGAATGGACACCTTGATGCCGTTGGGGGTACCGGTGGTGTACAAGTGGATATCCGTCTTGGTCTTGGCAGCCATGTTGAAGATTTGTTTACTCAATTGTCCTAGCCGAGATGTCATATGCTTACGGTGCAAGTGTTGAACGGAGGTTTTACGTGATGTCGCCGCGATGTGCAGAGAGTGAAGTTGTGCTTAGGTCTAAATACTGAATACTAATCCACCTGCTATTGAGCTCGACGCCACCTGGGTGCATTTATATGAACCCCTCACTCTGTGACCGACCAAAGCTATGTAAGCTGCCATCATCTTAATAATCCAGGCGGGCGCCCCACACACGGTCCGTGGAAGCTGGTACGTTGGGCCACTGTCTGACAACCCAGCTCTTGTCTGCGAATACCGTGGTACCGTGGCACGATTGCTTCCGTCAGAGTGACCCCTCCATTGCAGCAGAAAGGGCGCGGGGCTCTCACTTTTCTGTTGCTTAGAAATCACGGCAGGGACTGTCTGCAGCCCACATGTCGTCACTTCCCCCCGCCCGGTTGGTGTGCCGAAGTGTGGGGTATCCGGTGCAGTTGCGACTTGTCGACTCCAAGTCCGAAGTCCTTCCCCAAAAGGACCAACCTCTAATCGCGGAATGACTAAGCACGTCGACTTCCTTCAAGGTATCAAACAAGCAGCGGGGCCTTTCACTCATCAACATGGCCCAGCAGCATTGATCGGGCATTTTCTCCGTACTTCAGCCCGCAGGGTTGGCTCAATCCCAGATACCTGTCTGCCTGCACCCTACCATGAGCCAAGCCGGCCGACGGAGACCTGGGCAGCCAAGCTCCGTGGTGCTACGAATCCTGTCGATGATGCTCAGCCACTGGACATCTTGGGTTTTCGAAACCAAGCGAAGCTCACAGATTGGAGAATCTCAATCACCGTGGAAACAACCTTTGCGGGTTAAATTTTCTAAATTGGCCGTCATGAGACCCAATATATGGCTAACTTCTCACAACAGGCAGCAATTTCAGACATTTCCGTCTCGAAACGTCAATGTCGCCATTGACCTTTTTAGGTCCAACTGGTAGATAAAGACGAAGATATCCTCCTACTAAGATACAAGACTTTGCTCCTTTTTGGCGGCTCAAACCGCAAGGTAGCATATGCAACATCATGGAATGAAAGAAAAAAACAACCTAGGCCACAGAACTCGGGATCACTTACTGTAAACAACGCTCAAGACGCTAAAGGGGCAAGCTGTGGTGCAGGATCTTTGCTCTACCCACTGCATTTATTCACGACCGCTCATCGAATGATCTCGACCAAACAACATTGAAGAATACGGGCCGAGTCTAACGCCATCTTCCTCATCTTGTTGGCGAAACACATCCTCGAAGGTTGTAGGCGGTGGAGGAACCCATAGCTCTGGAGCGTCAACGTTGGGATGAGGAACGCTTGACATCATCATCTGGTCGAAGGCCTGCATTTGCTCTTGCTGCGTATCGTCAGACCCATCCATTTCGTCGAACAACAGGTCGATCTGCTCTTGTCCCATGGCGGCGGTCCCGAGACCGGAATTTACGAGCCAATCCAGGTCTCTCCAGTGGTCTGCACCCTGGGACTGAGGGGACTGGAGCTGGGACTGAAGCTGAGACTGTGGTTGAGACTGCTGCTGGGCCTGAAGCTGCTGTTGTCGTAGCTGCTGTTGGTGTTGCAGCTGCTGGTATTGCAGCAGTTGTTGCTGCTGTAGCTGTTGTAGCTGAAGCTCTTGCAGCTGTTGCTTTTGCAGCTGTTGCTGCTGCTCTTTCTGCTGTTGTTCGAGCTTTCTCTCCTTCCGGCGCTGGCCGTCACGTTTGCGCTTCTTCTTATTCTCCTCAAGCTGCGACCCAGAAATCTTCATTTGTGCCTTCAGCTGAGCTTTGGGCTGTTGATGGCTAGGGCCCTGACCAGGGAATTGGGGCTTTGGCTGACCTGATGAAGGTGATCGCCAGTTGGGCCCCTTCAGCCCTATCGGTGCGTTCGCAACGAGCTGTTGCGGAGCACCCCGTCGAGAATCAAGGGAATACGAGCCCTTCCAGGTCTGCATTTGTCTACCCAAGCACTCGAAATAACCTTGCATGGTAATATCCATGCCCTGGAGGAATTCCCACTCTGCACCATCATGGGCAGGGACTTGCTTCGGCGGCGTCAGAGCCGGCATCGACACGGGCGTCAGCTGCGACTGATTGGGGGCCGGGAAAGGGTCAGGAGCTTTGTTGGTGCCGTTCATGATGATAGTCCCAATTTCTTTACACTGTCTTTCTAGGTCAGTTATTTATTCACGTACGAATAGGGAGACAAAGTTGTGAGAGGAGAGTGACGGGAGACAAATCATGTAGGTACAGAAGCTGTGTTCACGAGAGATGCTATGGGTAAGGACATAGTCTAAGAAGCTTACTAGGTGATCGACGGAGAACGAAGCGCGAAAGCAGATGTGCGTTGAGCTCTTCTAACTATTGAAGCTAAGGCAGGTAAGGTCAGAGATGCTCTTCCGGGAGGTATACTTGTATGGCTGAAGAAGCTTACCAAAGTACTCCACTGGGTTATTGAGGACGAAAACACCAAGGCGAAAACCGAGAGAAGATTGACGATCCACACGCACAACCGATGGATCCGCGAATAACGGAAATTAGTATGGGGAGGGGAGAAATGTCGAGGTGTAGAGGCGGACAGACAACAAACATTTTATGGCTCGAGATTATGCGAGGTAAAGCTCTCCGAAAGTCTACTCCCTCCCCCGATTCCAATCCAACTCAGTGGCCGACAACTGTGCGATTAGAACAACACGAGGCCTTCGATCCTCTCGCCTAATAAATCTTATTTCGCCCTGAGAAAGCGGAATCGTGCACTGTGCAGGGCACCTCTTGGTTCTGAGACTCCCATGGCTTCGCTTGGTGGAAGTGAGGCTCATACACAGTGTCGCCGAGTCTGGCGCCGGTGTCAAACGCAGCATACTTTTCTCCAGAAGCGTGTAAGTACCTTGGTGTCAAAGAAAACCGGTCACTTCGTTTCTATGAAAGGGCGGGGTGAGGAACGATTTGGTGGAGAGCTTCGACGGCGGGAGTCCTGCCGCGTAACCTAGAGGGCGCGTGCGGAGGGATACGGGCGACTGAACTGCTTCACCTTTTGGAACAACAAGACGATCTCCGAGCTGACGTCCGAATAAGCTCTACCGACAGGAGAAAAATGACGGCCAACGAGCGAGTCCCCTCATTCCCACGCCAGGCCACTCATAAGACGTTTCAAAACGATGGACTCGATATCTGAACTTGACGAGTCTGCCCTCTCTTACCTCGAGATTTATGAAGCAGTAAGTAGCTTGGGAATGTCACTGCTTTCGCGACAAATAAGACACCAAAGAACACAACGATCTGAACAGACCTACAAAAGAGGTGCAAAAGGTTGCCAACAGAGTGTTCCTAGCGCCAACCTACTTCCACGTCGGACACCAACTTTACGGCACAAGATGAGCCGAAAGATTAGCCACGCGCGAGACCTCCCACGATCGCCTGAAATTCAGCTGATTAGGCGAAGTCCGATTTTGGATTTCCACGATAACAGGGTGCCTAGAGCCTCAAGATGCTTGACGGTGGAAAAGGGACAGAACCAATGTGCGATGTCGAATCACCCGGGCAACTTGGAACCTGCGTGCCGAGCAAAAAAGACATAGTGAGACAGTCTTTCTACGACATTGGCGTGGAACTGTCGACTTTTAGGGGTTCAAGTAGGTGACATGCAAGACTCTTGCCTTTGGATGAACAGCCGCCGGCTACCTGCTGAGTCGACCTTCACTGTACACGAAAGCAGAGGACGAGAAGTCTATTTCAACCCTGAGCATCAAACTATCTTTTGGGACATGAAAGTGAGGCGGACGCCACGAGCAGATTGGAAGAGACGAAGAGGTATGGTTCGTGACCATGTCGTCGGTATCACCATACTCAGCTGGTTGAAGGAATCCCTCGATGCAAATGTTCAAATTTGCGACGCTTTTCATCAAGTTTACCGTAATGTAGATGATTTATGAATCAAATAAGAGCAAATCTATAAGTAAGATTCGCACCAAGGCGTAGGCCGTCCCGATGAAAGTCTTGCCGGGACCGGGTGCAGACCCTCGGTGCCGTACCCGAGAGGCATCTTCGGCCGGAGTGAGTGTGAGTGGGACGCCCGACAACCACACCTCTGCTTTGCAGCTCGATGGAGACCCATGCCAGTCTGCTTACCTCGCAGGCCAATTTGGTCACACATACACCTGGATGAGAAAAGAGACAGCCCATGTAGAGCCTTCATCCATCCCTTTCCAGTCTCCTCCATACATCTGCAATAATCACATGTTGCGTAGAAGAGTTGCCCCAGCTATTGTAGACATCTCACACAAGTGAAGGGCAGGGTCCAAATAAAGGGCGAGACTTCCGGAGAGCATGTTGGTAGCAGCCTCCATCGTGGAAAACACACTTTCAGCCTCATCTCACCTTACCCACCTACGCCACGTCCCACTGCAAGACCAAAACCTTGGGGTCACACGCGTGATGGCGTGGGTACACACTCCCAAGCCACAGCGCTTATTAAACTTCAGCTTCTCGAAAACCGACATCGGTGGCAAAAAGGAGATGACTGAATTCGACACTGTGCGGTGTGTTGTGAACCTACCCTACTCGACGGAATGGATGTTATTCCGGCATAGCTGCCTACGAGAGGAGATGATTCCCCTTCCGATGGCCGCTTAGTTCTGGCGTGGGCTGCCTATCATCGAGGGAAGTGCCACATTACATAGGTGATAGGACCTGCCAGCCAGATTTTCAGACGAGGACCCCTATCACACTATGGTTCCCAACGAGCTGAGAATCTTGGGGTTTCACCAGCGCTCCCTACGACCGACCACCCCGCCATTGGCATGGTGCCGAAGGCAGGTGAAGGGATCCAAGTAGGGTGTCCTTCGTACCTTCCTCTTGGTGTTCAGAGGCTCCGGTATATTCCATTCGGAACGGATGGGCTTTCGTCACATCTGCTTGAACTCCTGGCTCTTTTTACGCCTCATCCACCATCCGCGCATGCCCGACGATGCGCCACCTACTGAGGTTGCCTAGAGTTAATATACTTAGGTAGGATGCAAGCTGGTCTGAGCACGTCTTGAGTCCTAGGGCTACGTAAAGGGTCATCTCCATCTAGGGACAAGAGCCTCTCTCGGTCCACCAAGAGCGTCGTCCGGCCTCGAACTGTATATGCATTCCTAAAGTATTCATCGCTATCCATACTTCCCGTACCTAGCCGTATATGTCTTGACCAAGCGCTGAATCTCCTCGGCTACTTGCCACATTGGACAGACTCACGAAGATGCTCTCAAGGGGAGAACGAGCTGAGAAAAAAAGAGGAAAGTTGGCCGTCATGTCTCCTACAGAGATACATACATATACACATTTCCATCCCGACGCCCACCCGTCACTTCCACCTTCAATCTGCCTTCGTGTCGTGCCAGTTCACCCAAGCGATGCTTTCAGACAGCTTTGAAAATAATACATGCTATGAATTTCCCCTTTGAAAGTCTTCTTCTCATTGGAGAGACTTTCTGTTGATGAGCCAGACCCAAACACCGGTTGTTAGTTAACCTGATCCAGAAACTCCAAATTTTTTTCCAGCATTTCATTCTTTGTTTTTTGTTGTTTTGCTTCTCCTTCTTTCTTCCATCTTCGTCTCGAATAGACCGTCAAAAAAAGTTCTGTCATGCCTTCTTTTCTCTGATGCCTATCGGCCCGCCCGCTTCAACAATGATTTGCTCGTCGACCCGTTTGCTGGTGTCGCCCCACTCAACACGCTTCCACGTCGTGATCCGAGCTTCGTTGGTATCGACCTCGAACACACGTATGCGGCGGTGGTATCCTCCGTATCCGGCATAGCCGCCGAAGCCGACTCCACCGGCGTAGCACATCCAGAGAGCTGGCTTTTGCTGGCTGTCTAGTGAGAGAGAGCAGTAATCGTTGACATGGTCACTATACAAGGTTAGTTTTTGGGTTTTCTACCAAGGGTTGCTGATGATACTTACTGTCCACAGCTGACCATCACGACACCCTGCTCGACGAGGGCGTCACGGAAGCCAGAGTTGAAGTTGGGTGCTGTGACACCCTCTTTCCATTCGCCTTTGATGGCGAGATCGGCATCTCTGTACTCGGGCAAAGGAATGTGAATAAAGGCTAGGTCCATGTGAACCTTGCTGTACTCCTTGTGTGCCTTCTTGAGATTCGTAGCAGTCTTTTTGAACCATTCTATCTGGTTCTGCTTGATCCAGTCATATCCATGGTATTTCTTCTCATCGGGAGAGTACGCATGGGAATCAAGCATATAAAGAGTGAGTGCCGAATGGTCCGACTTGCCTCTAGCAAGGACCTCAACGTAGTAGTTGCCAACACCGTCGATTTCTTCGGGGCCAGCCTTCGCTAGAGAATATGGCAGCGACTCGAGAATTTGCATCTGAGCAGCGCGAGGAAGGGATCCCTCATCATCGTGATTTCCAAAAATCGAGACGTAGGGGATCTTCATCTTGATGAGGATTTGAGCAATTTTGAAGATTGCCTAGTAAAGTTAGTTTGCGCCCAGCACGATAGAGGCAACACCACTCACCGACTGCGCATCAGGAGCAGTTTCGCCGTTGACCTGGTCTCCACTAAGCACGACCAAATGGGGCTTCTCCTCGGTGAGGATCTTCTGGACGAAATCTAGCGTTCTGGGATCCGCCTCGCACAAGCCGCCGTTGTAGCCCTCGGGCATGGCATCGCGACACTTGCCGACGCCAGTGCTGAGATGGAGATCGGCCAGCTGCATGATTTTAAATCTGCCGTTCTCGGGGATCCGCGGCTGGGGTTTATGAGGCTCCTTTTGGCTTCCTCTCCGGAGAGTGATGTGGGTGACGGGGACTTCTTCGTTGAGAGGGAGCAGCAGGGGCGTCCCGGTGATCTGCCAGCCATCGCGAGCCTCAACCGCATCGTCGCCAAACAGTACATCAATGCCTGTAACGGCCTTTTTGGAGTCGCTGTCCTTTTGGTTGGAAGACCGCTTCACCCACAATCCGTATGGTCGGCTCTCCCACCTCTCGTCCTCCTCTCCCTTCTTAGAAGTCGTGGGGTCGAGTCGGCCGACGGAAACGTCCATGACTACCTTATCCTCTGGTAGCAGCTCCTCCTCCTTCTTTCGTGCGACGTGTACGTATGCGCTGGTGGTCCATGACTTGCCCAGGTACAGGTCCTTTTCGATTCGGTGCCATTTGTTGGTGTCGAGGTTGCAGGATGTGAAGACGTTTATGCTCGAGCATTTCGTTACTGTTATATCCGTGACAATCAGGCCATGGTGATGCTGCGGCATGTAGTGGTGCATCGACTTTGGTAGAACTCGGAAGTTTCGGTCGAGGAAGAAGACGGCGAGAAACGTCACAAGCGTCACCGCGGTGAGCTGGATTATCGTCCGTACCTGGGCAAAGGCATCGTTAGCATGGCCCTCCTCTCGTCGTCAAGCGTAGCAGCAGGACTCACTATACGGCGCGTCATGTTGGGCGACTTTTGCGATTGTCGCAAAGCGAAGGGAGGCCGGTCGTGGCGATGTAAGGACCGGCGGCGTCGTGATCAATCAAGGGTAGCAGCGCAGCGCAGCGCGTGGGCTGAGGGAACACGAACACGAAGTAATCGGCTCGAGCGAGCCTTAGTTCAAGCTAATACCCAGGCCATATCAGGGCCCGCAGGTCGGCTAAGGTGGAATAGAGATTGAGAGTGGTAAATGCGGTGGGCGCGAAAGAGCTTGATGTCGGCTCGAAACTCGAAAGACAGCTCAGCGGACGACAGGGGGGTTGAGAAAAGGAGCAAGAAAAGGCACGAGGCAATCAACCGAGTCTCGGTCGATAAAGGCCCCATTTAGGTGGTGCCAACTGCCACCTCAGAATCCGGGGTAGCAGTGCACTTTTTTTTGGCATTTGGCCCATCTGCTAAGGTAATTGCTGAGGGCGCCCTGTGATTGCGCCCGGTCACCACGTCCCTCACGCAGTCTGACAGTTACCACTGATCAATCATCGCTGTCCATCAGTGGGCTTGCCACGGTACGTACAGGCGATTAGGTTATCAAGGTTTCATTGGCTTTTCCCCTGACAAGGCCAGGCCGCCCACCGAAACTCCTTTTCAACTTCATCAAGGCTCCAACCGGTTAGGCGAGGATTTCGTGAGGGATGTGGCGACGCCATCGACCGGGAGAAGGACGGAAGAGCTGCCGGGGAAACAGCAAGCAGCCGCACGTGGCGTCCACTATCATTGACGCGTCCATGTCTATCAGACTGTTACGCTCCGAGACATCGTCTACATACAATCTGCCAGACTCCAGTGCCATGTATGTTGCATGAAGCTGCGCGTCACATCACACGGGCCGTGGTGCGACGCAACAGCAGCATGCAACTATTGCGCGCGTCGTCCACTTTGACTACCCAAAGTACGACTTAGAGCCGCTCAGCAACAGCTTTCTTCCATGTTAACGTCATGCCGGTGGAGCCTCACGTCCCGTTCCATCTCTGTCACCACCCCAAGTACGTAAGCTCGAGACGGCATGGTCTGAAGACAAGAGACGGACACCCGCTGCACGCAGATCTGCCAGAGTATCTTGCTTATCCCACTTTATATTGCCACACTTAATACACGATGGCCGCGCGTCAGAGAGGTCGAATTGAGTTTGTTACGCAGCCATCCTCCCGGTTTCTCGCGTCTTCAAAGACAGACGAGACGAAATGATAATCATCAAGCCTCGCTATCTCGGGATGACAGAAGCATTGACGAACCAATTCACAGAGTTGAAGACCAGTTGGGCTCTTGTTGGCCGTCAACGACGCGAGACTTGAGTTAGTCGCGACGAAAAGCTATGCTCAAACAACGCAAGACAATGCTGTTGATAGAGAAACCTTCATCATCATCGTATTCTCATCTTATCTCATCTTGGGCACTCTATCAGCTGCATTCACATGAGTCCGGTATGGTGGCAAGAGCTGAGTTACCGCGGGTGTGCTACTCATTACCTCACATGAGATGCCAAGACAACCCCGTAGGTCTCTCACCTCATACAGATCTCACACTTTTAGGTAGTGTGTTGTGGCTGCTCATCTTATCAATTTCTCCAACACAAGCCACACGGGATTTCTTCAAAAGACAAAGAGTCGACTCATTCCCTTTGTCTTGGTACTGAAAATATGCATCTCCGATTTTGCGGCCAGATGTCACTTCACTCCCTGACAAAGCTACATGGGAAGAAGAAATGAGTTGAATGAGACAAGAGCAGAGAAGAAACGCCGTTCAACGTCGCTTTGTCACTGCGTTTTTAATGCAGCCTATTTTTGGAACCCAGAATCTGCCTTCAATTCAGAACTTTCAGATCCGACGATGCATTCTTCAACTCAATTTCAGGAGCCTCGCAAGTCGCTAGCAACAACGAGGGAAACTCATTCCTGAAGGGACAACTTCACTTCAACATGGACCAATGCAGGAACAGTGGCCCGTGCTCTCACATCCTCGCTTAATGGGAATGGATAGAAGGCACTGCGGCGGCACCTTCCCTTACGCAGTAAGTAAGGTACCTAGCTGCACAAGCTTGGTAGTCGAGTACGTACCTCTACCAGCAACCAGCTGATGCGCCGCAGCTTGAGCAACTGGGAAGGTCCCCTTTCTTGCTAACCTGGGAGGTACCTGCCTACCTTTCACTCGCCTTACCTTCCCAAAGCTGTCGTCCTGTGAACCAAAGCACCAACGACGCGCCTCAAAAATCGTCATAACCCCCGGCGATCCATCAACGACCGCCCCTTCTCTCCGCCTTCCAAGTTCCACTCCAATTCCATCATCAATTTCTTCTTCGCCCAAGTTGCGCAAACCTGTTCAACATCGTCGCAGCCGTATCACAGTCCCAGCATCGTTTCTATCACAACTCTCCCATATCGGCTCCACACCTAACTGTCGCAAACATGGCCACCGACTACAGCTCGTTGAAGGTTCCCGAGCTCAAGAAGCTTCTCCAGGAGAGAAGCCTTCCCGCAACAGGCAACAAGCTCGACCTGGTCAATCGCCTCAAGGAGAACGATGCGCAATCCGCACCCGGTACGTCAATCGATTCCGAACACGCGCTTTCTTCGATCGCAACCTAACAAGACCCAGTCGCCGCCGAGGAGGATGAAATCGATTATAGTGACGACGAGCCTACCGTGCCCACCAAGGCAGCCGAAGCCCCCAAGCCCGCTGCCGAAGCTGCCCCGGCTGCCGAGGAACCTAAGCCTGCCGCTGCTCCTGCTGTAGCTGAGCCTGCCGCCCCCGCCACTGAAGCCGCGCCTGCGCCTGCTGCTGAGACGACCGCGGAAGAGGACAAGAAGACAGAGGAGACTGCAGAGGCTGCCGAAGCCGCGCCAAAGGAGGACTTTGCTCTCAATCTGGATGCGACCGATGCCGCAGCGGAAGCCAAGAAGCGCGCCGACCGCGCCAAGCGATTCGGCATCGACGAGGATGAGGAGGCCAAGAAGAAGGCTGAGCGCGCGAAGAAGTTTGGCGTCGAGGTCGGCAGCGTCGCCGGTCTCGACTCCGCGCTCCCCGAGAGACGTCCTAAGCGCGGCCGTCCTGAGCGCTCCGATGAGCAGCCCGGACGCGATGCCAAGCGGCAGAGCACCGACGGTCGTGGACCCCGCGGTCGCGGCGGCAGGAACAACAGAGATGGAGGACGCCCTGGAGGTCGCCGCCAAGGTGGTGGTCGCGAGGGCGGCGGCGAACGCGACACCAGACGCAGCGCTGCCATCGACCCTGCCGAGAAGGCGAGACAGGAAGCGAGAGCGAAGCGCTTTGCCAACTAGGTATAGTGAGGTGTTACGCGTTCGAATGGGGAGAGCCCTGGAGGAAGGGGTCTGTATACTATGCCCGGGAAGAGGTGGCTGGCGTTTCGGTCTACGACAGATGATTGGGAGACGCAAACCAGGCACGCGAATAAAACAACGCACGCCCTTGGTTTAAGGAAGGGCGGAGACGATTCAAAACGAGATGGCATCGACAGCCTGAGTCTTCTCAAAACAAGATATTTTTGACAGTAATGGAATAGAACTAAAAGTCTTTTTGGTATTCCCCAGTTCCAGGCTCTTGAGAGTTCCCTCCTAGATGTTGAATAAGTAGGAAATGGACTGCCTGTTGGCCCTGATATGTTGAAGACCTCGCAATAATTTGCGGTTCTTACCCCGGACTCTCCTACGGACCATAGGTGGCCAAGAAGATCGCATCGTAGACCCGGAGAGTAGTTGACAAGGCCGGGGTCCTCGTCTACGAGGTGCCAAAGCAAAGATACACGAAGCTGCTTGCCTACTGTCGCCGAAGGCTGGCTAGTTCGCCAACCACATACTAACCACATACCAACCATATAAAGATCCGATTGCAAGAAGGAAAACTTCCAAAAGTCGCAGTCGACCAGCGTGATCGCCCGGTTCTTGTGATGCCCTCACCTTTGGTTGCTCAAAAACTACTCCCACCATTGTCCATCTACATTGGATTGCCACCATAGGTAAGCACACCCTTGCCCCATTATTGCCATCTCCATCGATGCTGTACCACAGCAGTATCACGAGAGGTATTTAAAGGACTCCAAAGCCGCAAGTAAGGTCGCCTAGCTTCGTCTCCATAATCGAGCTTGATGCATTCCTGAACAAGTGGAATTGGTAGTTAGTCACGATTAGTGGTGAACGCACCGGTGCCCGATTGATCTTGAGTCACATCTAACTCTACAGAGAAACATTATCATACAACCAGAATTGTTGATTGTCTATCGGCTCGTTGATATAAGCTGACGAATACGTGAGAGGAATCGTAGGACCTGGTTTAGAGAAAGTTTGCACGTGAATATACATTATACTAGATCACTATCACTTATCATTAGCCCGCTTACTCATTTTGTAAGGCAACGAATACGTGATTGAGAAGAACCGTTGGTCAACGCTGAACGGGAGGTCAATATAGAAACAAGGGCGCAGTACTGCTCCCTTGATCAAATGTGCTGGATGAGAAGCTCGCGAGCACTTTGTCCTTAGTCGCTTTGTCTATGGGAGCCGACGCCAAACATCAAAAGTGAGCCCGTCATTCAGCATGATGGCCTTGACTAAATCAATGGAACGGTCTGAAGGGGCGGTTCATTCAATACCCCGGGTACACGCAAGACGCCATCAGGTGACATTGAATTCACAGATCAGAGCCCTGTTCTGAAAGGCAATCAACCTCCCCTATTTCCCTACTACCTAAGGTAAACAAGGTGCTCAGTACGAGCAGCTATGATTCTTTCCCAACGCGATAGGGAACGCCTCTTTACATCAATGCCTGCACGGCCTGTCCGCTGAACTTGGGGTCTGTCTTAAAAAGGTCAAGAAAGGTTACCTATGCTGATTCATGCTTTCTCCTAGAAGATCATTTTGAAAGATGGACCCAAATCTCGCTGCGACAGTTCGTCACACATGACCAACAAGCCCTGGCACGACCCATCGAACCATTCAGATCAAAATTGATCCGATGTCTTTGCAGAAGCCCCCAGCTTTCCTAGGTCTCGCACCGCAACAACCCATTGAAGTATTCAATCTCTTTCTCGTCCCCCTCCGAGACCTCGAGAACATGCCCGTCACCCTCTCACAGGCAGCAACATCTAAACAGCGATGCGAAGCGGGACTCAATCAACGCCTAGACAAGATATGATATTACACACCGCCCAGAGGCAAGCCATCGGAGACTTGTAGATCATTTCAAGGCAGCAGAACTACATCCCAGGGGCAGCTTCGAGACCCACGGGTAACGCCAAGGGGTTTGACGCAGGGCAAAATATATCGCTGCCTCGGTAGCCTGGCACGCCATTATACCATCCCCTCAAGGCTTCAGGGGCGAGACTCAGCCGCTACCCCGATTCTATTCTAGAAACGCGCTTCACCTACAGGATTTCTTCCACACAAGCGGTTCCTAGCCAAGAAGCTAGGCATGAACCCTCGTGGATGGAGATGAGGCGGCGGGGTCGATTTCCTCGAGAGAAGTCTCAGGGGGTCACAGAGCACCAAAGTTCCAAAGTCCTTTATCCAGAAACGTTAGCAACACACCCACAGGCACGTCGGCCGAGTCTAAAAGGCTGCCTGCTACCTATAGTCAATCATCATCGCGGAGTAACATATCAGCCGCCACCCCATCCCATTAAACGCCAACCGCGTGATACCCGCTCGCGCGCGTGAGGGGGGGAAGGCGGACGAGAGGGGTGGGATGGTGAGACATAGACGATAATGGCGTTAAACACATTCAATAACTGCATGAAAGGAATAAGCTCAAACGCCACGGAAGCAAAGGTCCCCTCCACGGAGCCTCCTCCGCGGCTTCGGGAAGAAGGCGAAGAGGGGGGGAGGGGGGATGGGCCGCATCGCGGGCCTCACAGCCGGTCGGTTTGGTGTTGCCTAGATCCCTCAAGCCACTTGGATTCTGAATAGAGACTGGAGGAAGCGGGATGGAGTAACCACGATAGAGCAGAGTCGACGAGTGAACTATGTCCATCTCCAGGGCGGGAATCTCTAGACCACCCGCCTTCCGGGATTGACAACATCCACCTCCACTCGGTGAACACTCCATTGCCGACTAACTCTATCCCGACGGCCACCGGGACAATATACAAGCACAAGATATGCCGCTGGGTTAAAACTGGATAGCAACAGCAACGACGAACCGAACGACAACTCTCCGCAAAGTCTCCGCGAGCGTACCATCATAACATGGAATTTCCGGGTTCATCGGTAATCCCTCCTCCTAACTCCACGGCATTAGTCCGCCGAAAAGTCCGCTGTACCCGGCATTTGTAGGTTACGCAAAAATGGGAACATCCGGGGGCCCAGCCCCTCGGTAGAGCAAACAGACGATACCTAGGCGGCCGTTGAACAGCAAGCCTTGGCTGTCAATCATCGCTTTGCCGCAGAGGTGCTTGTCTAAATCCCACATCCTGCAGTCAGACACAAAGAAGCTTGGCCGTTTCTCGAAAAAGGCACGTCCTGTTGCCTGATCGCCAACCAACCTCCTTCCGTACATGTATCTAGCCCTACGAAACACCACCACCACCACCACCACTACCCAAAGATGCTGTGCACTGGTTGGGGGCCTAGATGCAGCATCCGTGAAGGGGCAAATATGCGACGCGTGGGGCTATGGAGAGAAGAAACAAGCCTCAAGCCGGAGAGAAAAATACCAAAGTCCCTTTCCCTCGTTGCACGCGCGGGCGGGGGGGGGGGGGGGACGTGGAGGGGAACGGCGTCATTCCCACAGAGAAGCTGCACAAGCTACAGAAAAGAACACAAAAAGGAACACGCAGAAGCCTAAGCCTCCAAACATACCCGCCGCAGGTTAGGCAGGTGCATAAGCAAAGTGTTCTTGGCCTTTGCTGATCAGAATGTTTCTGCGGGACCCCTCATTGACGTCTGAATAGCCTCATGGCCGCGAGCTAGACGACTCAAAGTCCTTCCCATCAACCCTAGTTCGGTGACCCAGTCCCACAAGTTCCTGTACCTCAGTACTATTTGAGTAAACAATCTGAAGAACAGGATCGACCCCTTCCCCCTCCCCGTGCCCGTGTCCGTGGGTAATGAGGATGAACCCCCTTCCCTTAAGCCCTTCCTCCCGAGCCGAGTCTATCTGGCAGCCTGGGTAATAATACTCAGAAGAGAGAGGAAGGAGACACTGTGGACTCTGGCAACGCTTTCTGCACCCGTCGTCTAGACGAGATCCCAGTAGTTCACGATTAGGGAACCCGGTCACTGTCGCGCCCCATGTAACACTGCTACCCGTACCCCATCTCCCGAGGAGACATCGCCGTGAACCCGGCCACTTGGACTGACGAACGGACGTCAAGCCTTCCCGCTGGCGGCCCCGCTTGAAGCGGGGCCTTCGGACTCCCTTCGGATTCGATGTTTGAGTCGTTGATTAGACAGGTCATAGAGAGGGTGGGGGAAGGGTACGTGGGAAGGCCCGCTGCATCCCTGGGGGAGTCTGTTCAACGAGAGCGGTAAAGTCGATACGATGTGACAAGGGGGTTCCTGCTTTGTGTACTCTATATTCGGATTGCTTCTTTTCAAGGACGTGCATGCTTGGGTACATTCTTCACATGTATTCGTACATACATGTCTGTTCTTGTGCGGTAGCATCCGGTATCTTAGGGGTGTTGGATGGTCCATCGATCTGACCAAAGATGATCAATTGCGACCTGACTTGCATAGGATAGAGGTAGTGGTTAAACGCCACGAAATACGTCAACTTTCTCTGTGCCGTACCTTCGCCTTGCGTTGCTGTAATGAAAGGAGTCGGGTCATCTTGTCGTCAAGTCCGTTCGGCCCCGAGAAACCCGCCTCAGTCGAGCTTAGTTAGCACCATACGATACGGGCCATATCGAATTCCCAATTTGTCCCCTAGATCTGACCGACTGCATTGGCGACAGTCGCGTGAGCAAGAAAGGTTAGAGCCATACGAATCTGCGTTGGTCCCGCGGCACTTCTTACCCTCCTCATTCGCCACCCCGAAAAAAACATAACGCAGCTAGAATCCTTGGATGCCAGCAGATTCGTCAAGCCAAACGCTGGCAGACATTCAAAGGAACCGGATCCTCGCTCTGCAGAGAAACGTGACCAGAAGGTAGGCAAACCAAAGTCCCACGTGCTTCAAGGTCTCGATTAGGGATAGGGAGTAGGTTAGATAGTGATCTTGACGCAAGGATCCTCTACCCCCCCCCCCCTTTTCCGCCGTCACAGAATAGGTTCCCGGGATACCGGGCACGCAAGGAAGTGAAATGATGCGGGATAACGAACAGCACACCACTGCAGAGCAGCAGGGCTGGGCTGGCTTCGGTCTAGGTACACAAGTCAACTAGGGCTGAGTATTTGAGTATTTGTCAACTTCACAGCGTGGCATGAGGCATGAGGCACACCCTCTACTTCGTAACGACCTAGTCTCTTTCTCTTTCTCTCTCGAATCGCTTACCTTGCAAGTTACCCCGTCGAAGACTTCTATCCCGGAGTCCTAGTCTCCATAAGCTCACGGTTTGTGGCGCGCCCCTGCCCTACGCGCCCGCCCGCCCGCCGGGCTCCCACGATGACGGTAGGCTAGGGTTTATTGAGTGCCGGGGTGGTCTCAATGGTATACGGTTTGATGGAGACGACGCTAAGCCTGGTGACCAATTCAGGGCCCTCCTTTGGGAGTGGTGGTGAGAGGCGGACGCCGCGCCCGCTCGCGCATGTGTGTTCCATGGCAGGACGAAAAGCAGGTGGTGTAAGTCACTTGGTGTGGCTTCGCCGCGTTGCCGCATCTCAAGCACCGCCGCTTAGCCGCCTCCCGTGATTACGTATCCGTATCTGCCGCTGCCGGTTGAGTAATAGTAAGCACGTTGTCGGGTTAGATGGATACGAAATCAAAGTGATTGGCCAACCAGATGAGCAGCTTCGGGATGAGCAAATTATGGGTTCCTCGCTCTCTAAGAGGTAGGTACTCTTTCCAAAAAACAGTTGCTGCTTGTGACTTGTGTCCGGACGATGTCTCTGCCCGTCCGGACAACTCCGGAACACCCCCGGGCTACCGGGCGGCCGCCCGCCGAATGCCCTCCCTGGCCCAGTGCCTGGCCGAGTACCCCAGACAACTTTTCAGACTTGCGGTCGGGAGTCTCCCTGGAAAGTATCTGCTCGTCATCTCGGCTCGCTTCTCTTACCAGGGAAGTTTGAAGAAAATCAAAGTTGCGACAAGTGGTTGATCTTGCGTCGCTTATCCCTTCTCCTCAAGATCCACCCGGCGGCCGACTCTGCGCTATTCCGTTCGCGGATGGTCATTCGAGGTCAAGCGATCACACTTAACTCGTGGGGTTCAGGGTCATGGCCCATAGGCGTTGTGGAACCCCATGTTCGCTTCGCATCTTTCGACGGGGGGCTCTATTGCGCCTAAAGGGAGGAAAAAACTCTGCGAACCGCTAGGTAGCTAACCCTGTTTCTTCAAGGTCGATGTTAGGCGAGGGGTTAATACTGTTCACTTGTCGTAGACCTGTGTTTGCAAGCTGCATCTGTTTTCAGGTTCTTGACATGAAGTTGTAAGAAGCCAAGGGCGACGTAGCAAGGGTACCCCGTATTTCGGAGGCAACAAGAGGGGTTGGTTGACAGGCAAGCCAGGCTTCAGCTCGCTCAACCTATGACTGTAGTCATTAGAGCCGACACAGTTCGGGGGAAACGTTCTTGATGGCGCCACAAAAGTACCCCGATGCTCGACTCACCGAGCTGCTCTGGCATTCACCGAGAACACTGGCAGCCTGCAGGCACACGGGTCCCGGCCTCTAGCGCCATGACCGCTCGAATGCCGCGGTGCATGCCCTCCATCCCACCCATGTTCTTGGGCGGCCGCTGCCTGCCGCTCTCAACGCGGAAGCTATGACACAGTCCACTCGTTGCAAAGATGGTGAGAGACAGCACGACTACTCGCCTGTCTTTGTGAACAACGTGAGCGATGCGCAGTGCAGATTCGTAGATAGTAATAAGATATTAGATCGATATGGGAGATATTGACAGAAAGCCCGAACCAAATGAAATCTAGTAAATGCGTTGTCCAAATAGAAACCCAATGCCTGAACCCAAACGTCTTCCGACGTCATGTTACGCCGTCGTTGATGGGAATCTCATTAGCCCCACATACAGCTCCAAGAGCCCTCCGAACCAACTCAGAGCTGGCATTGACGTCGAATGGTGAAAGATCTACACCGTGATGAAAGTGAACGCCTTCTTGGTCGACAGTACTTGATCGTCCGTGATTGAGCGGTGACTTCTTCAACTGTGACTCGGTCCATCAGCACCCGCTGGTTGGTTGTCCGCCGTGGAAACGTACTGTTGACTTGAGCCTTTGCTTTCCTTCTTCTTGCCGCTGCTCTTCTTCGACGAGTTCTTGCTCTGTCCTCTTGTCTCTATCCGAGGAAGGAGGCCGTCGAAGATGGCATACTGGTCGTAGCCTTTGCCTTTGTCATCGGGCGAGGTGCCCTTCGAGCTGCTGCCGCCATGGGAGTCCATCGTGTTGTTCGATGTTCTTAAAGCCGCGATCTAAATGAGCCCCTCTGCGTCAATCAACGCTTTCAGCCACGGCTTGATCTTAGACGTACTGTGGTTTCTTGAAGCTTGCGTAGAAGCTCGCTTGTGTCTTGATTTGTATACGATGCTTGAGTGGGTGATGCTTGATGAGTTGAAGAGTAACTCAATGCGTTTCGAGAGGCTTGCTGGTCTTGCTGGCTCATTCTGAAGGCGGCCTCGCACGAGGTTTATATCTTCGAGGATGAATAGGTAGAGGAAGAAGTTCTTCCCACCATCGGTCGTGAAAGACAAAGCCAGGTCAAAAGCGGAGGGACTTTGGAAAGTTGAAGAACCAGGCCTGCGCGGCGAAGCTTGGAAGAGGTGTACAAGAAAACGATACACTGGAGCTTTCATAGCATCTCTAATGACTTTAGAAAACTTGGCCCTAAGTTAGGCAGAGCCGTCAGTTGGTGTCGTTGTTCTTGGGTTCAGCCCACACCCCCTGGTCAACTCAAGGCAGGCAATGGGGACGTGCCGGGCACAGCAGGAAGACTGCCTGACCGGACCCGTTTCTCAACCAGACCTATGCCACCTCTCAGGAAGGACTTTTGCAGCTACTTACTCTTTCATTTGGAAAACAAACCCATTCTGGGCGGGATACGCGTGGCGAAGTTGCGAAGAAGATGGACGATGAAAACTTCTGGATATGCCCGTTGTTCAGCAAGCCGTCGACATTGGAGTTGTTGCAACTGAACCAAAGTCCCATCGTGCCAGATCATGTGCCTTGCGGTAACCGGGGGGAGTCACCAGTGAGCATATCTGCCAGGATATGCTTGCTGACGACTGTGATTCGCTCAATTGCGACTGAACTGCCAAAGTTAACCCTTGAGATTCTGAATGGCCTCAATGCAACATCGTGTAGGCCATATGCCTGAGGACTCAATAGGTCTAAGATTGATAGCTCTGTAGCGTGTAACTGAGTGCATTCAGCATCACACTTGGATCCGGAAATCGAAGACTGGCCGATTCAAAAGGACTTTGAGATGTCGTACCCACATGCTCTTGCCGGCTTGCATCAGCATAGGGCTGAAACTTGACCTGATTACAAAGTTCTCTCGCGAATCCAGATCATCTATGAAGGATCGGCTTGGGTTCTCCGTGGACCTACGGCATTAGTCTAGATCGTCCGTGAGGATGATCGGTACCAAATGCAATTCGATCTATTTGCAAGCAGTGTGGCAGCCATTTGAGGACGCAGTCAGTCATGCGCCATACTCGTGACCTCGAGGCTTCACCTCTCACCGAATGACATCGACGACAAGGGTTGTCATCACTGCAGCCTCAATGTTTTCTTTCCAGATTCTTTTGGATTGTCCACTGCTCGTATGATCGACAGTCGAGCCATTTCGTCGGGTACGACTGAGGCCTTTAGCGACTTGACGTGTGACTGTGAATTGACTTTGAATGGGGGCCGGAATTGCATGTTACTGCAATCAAGGAACGTTCGATCTGGATACTCGTCGATCAGATACCGAGCGACACCAGGAGCGGCCGCCCGTGCCCCACCAGGCCAAAGAAGAGAGGATTGGTTTGTTAGCCGCGGATCAAGGTTAGGCTCATCTCGGAGCGTGTGTTACGGAGATGTGAGACTCCAGGCAGCCCCGAATGGTGTTTGCTCAAGGAATCGCTCGCGCTCGATAGAATTCTGGAGCCTGAAGGTACATTCCGTCAAACTCGCCATTTGGTGGGTTGACCTCCATTCGAGCACCATGGGGAAACATGTGCAGGCAGCAGTTGAAATTCCCGACCGTGGAAATGTGGTTGCGGGCCGTCCGATGTCGTCGATTCTGCCTCCCGCGTCTGTGCTGGGCATCATTTCTGAAATTCTGCTGACATGATCTCTTCATTCCTTGCTACGCAGTAGACACCCTTCTGCCCACGAACCAGGGCGATGGATTCTTGTCACCCCTTCTTGGTGGTCCATGCGACGTGTTGAATAGTGGGATCCACAGTAAGTTGCCGGGGTGCGATGTTGGCTCCGTATAAGTCTAACCAGCATGGGAGGAAATCTCGAAGGAGGCAACGGCAGCCATCCTTCTCTCCCGGCACGCCCCTCAACATGCAGATGGCTTGAGATATTGGCTTGTCATTGAATGCTTGGACACACCGAGTACTTGGCTCAGGCAGCTGATGGTTGATGGGAGATACGTTTTGTGACGTTCGGGCTGGTAATTGGACGGAGATGGATTGCCATCCATGAATCCATGATCTTGATGTGTCCCTTGCTTTGATGTCTCCTGCAACCCCTGTTCTTGGCACAGGAGAAGGGAGACAAATCCCGTGGCCTACGGAGCCGTCAGTGAATGTGCCCCACGCCCTCCGGCCACAAGACCGCAGACAGGCCCGGGATAAACGGCGTGTCGACCCGACTGACTGGCTTGAGGGAAAGACCATACTCCGTTGTGTATCCGTAGAGGTCTCTCGGTCTCTGGATGGAGCAATAAAGGAGACCCGTTTTCGATGGGACCTTCATGGGGGCTCTGCGGCCGCCGCGCGACAAGTACTGCAGCTTTTGCTCGCGTCTCTCTCCAATGGGCAATCCGTAACGTCGCCAATCAACTGGCCTACTAAGCGAATTTCCACGCCGCACCCTGGACCAGTAGACTCCCAAATTTCATATTCCCGAAGAAGTCTAGCCTCACGTCTCAACGCGACTTACTGCGACCTCGAGCAGTCTCTTCGTTCTGGCGTCCACGTCGTTGGAGTGTTTGGTCCCTGGGCTCTGGCCCTGGGCCCTGGCCTGGAAGCAACGGCCATGTGCTGATGATACCCGACCCGTTCCCCACAAGCTCGGACAAAGCGGGCCATATCCCTCACTCTATTCGGAGTTTCTCTCTTCTTCTCATCTCATCTCGTTTCTAGTCTGGATGGGAATCTGCGGAATTTTCCATGTCGAGGAGTAGTTACAGCGTCGAAATGGTGATTGTAGTTGAGTGCCAGGGCGGATCCCCACCCTGGACAGGCAGTCGAATTCGGAGCCCCCTCATCTTGTTTCGAGCCACTATCAGGCAACCAGATAGGTCGGGTGGTGCGCATAGAGATGGAGGACTGTAGGGAGGTCAGTTTGTAACTTGGTTGGCAGTGATGATCTCAGTCCTGTCCAAACTTACTCTCAACCGTTCAGATGTGGTTGCCGCAGGCTGTCAGAGAGCGAGCGACTCCACCTAATAGTGGCAGTGGCACGACCGCCAGCTCGATAGTCGTCGACTCATCGCCCGTCGTCACAATACTTCTGTCTGACATTGGGTCGCTGGCCCGCCTCATGCTGGCATCAGACCGTTGCGGATAATACTGACTGCTGATCTCCTGCTGCACCTTGCCTAAGCCCCCTGCGCCATCCCCACTTACACCTCCCCTGTAAGGCGATGGGCACCACCTTGGCCACTAAATCGCCTTCCTGGTGAGAGACTGGGAGTCGGCAGCGGTTCAGCGGGTATCTGTGGCCGTCCAATTCCGCTCGGGGAAGGTCGATAATAATTGACATCAGATGCAAGGCCTCTCGCTGCAGGGGTGTGCAGCCGCCGGGAGGGGTGACATTGGATCCAATGCCACCAGTAGGCCGGTCGTGCTGGTATGGGGGCGGGAAGACAGGGCCTTACCGGGCTTAGCGGTTCAATTGCTTACCGTTTGAGTTCCCTTTTTTCCTGCTTTCAAATAACTTATCCATCTGATTCCCCGCGTTCTTCTGTTGAATTGTCTCATAACGGTGAAAGTGAAGATTCGTCGATATATACTCATCTTGCATGGTCCGCCATTGATACCAAACTTTCGTTGTGTCTGTCAAGTCGAGAGCCCAACAAAGCCAGCGCCATGAAAACTTCCAGCCTACCCGTGCCGCCGAAGCGGAAAACGTCGACTGACTCCGAAGTTGACGAAATGACAAGCTCTGGGCAGTCAGCGAAGCCGCGTAAGCGCGTGCCCGCTGAGATCTGGGAGACAAAGCGTCCGATCATCACCCGGCTGTACCAAGAAGAGAAGAAGTCGTTGAAGGAGGTCATGGAAATCATGCAGCGCGACTACCATTTTGCTGCCACGTAAGCCCGCCGTTCCGTGTATTGAGCCTATGGGTTACTGAAGAATGACAGCGTCAAAATGTACAAGTCGAGAATATGGAAATGGGGCCTTGACAAAAAACTCAAAGGTGACGAGGTTCTGGCAATCATGCTTCTCAAGAGGGATCGAGACCTCCTGAAAAGACCGACTGAGTTCAGGATTCGCGGACAGCCAGTGGATTTGGACAACATCAACCGGTATCTGAAGCGGAACCCTTCATTGATGGCCAAATTCAGGGCGGGACAGACGCCCAGCGTACAAACAGCACTCGAGGTGACTTGCCGAACACCTTCGCCGCCTCCGAGCCCAGCGATAGCCTTGGCACCAACGATAGAGATGCAGAGTACCGAGCAGGTTCTCTGCTTGTTCCGAGATTACATCGATGGCTCCTTTTCTTCTGGAGCCTGGTGGTGCGATTTTGACGTTGACTGCTCCAATACTCGTTTCAACCCCGGAGACCGCAGTAATGACTTATTCGAGAGAGTCATAGCCAGCTTCGCTTTGGTCAACCGATGCATGATACGAGGAGACCAGATCAACATCAACAGCGTTCTTGGTCCGGCCTTCGAGTCCCTGAAAGAAATTGTAGCTGCCGAAAGTCCGGACTTTGTTGCTCGTACGGTCTGCTTGCTTTGGTACCTGGAGCGCCACCACAAGCATGATCTTCTTCGACTGGTTCTCGATTATTTGGCCGGGCTCATTCCGATTGTGCTGGGGCCTCATCATATCCTCGCCCATATCTGGCGTAGACTGGGCGCGACCGAGTTTTCCGACTACTATGAGCTCTCTATGCGGTTATATGCGCTGCTACTTCCCGACATCGAGCAGCGGGTGGGCTCGGCCAACTACTTGACGCATCTGCTGTACAGCGACTATCTTGATTGCATCTTTGCTCGACAAGATCCGGAGGATTGCGAGGCAATGCTCAGCCGTCACCGGGCTCGAGCTGAGGCCTCGGGGCAAGATCACTCGTGGCTTGGCGATATGGCTCTGTCGCATGCTGGCCTACTCGCAGCCTGCAAGGAAAAACAGGGCCGACTGGACGAGGCTGTCGAAGTGCTGACGGCTCATATGAATGCATACAGCATGACAGACGAGCAGGAAGCAGCCGTTAATCTCGAGCTCGGGGTGAAGTACTATCGGATGGGCAGCACCTCGGCGGCGATCACGTCTTTCAAGTCGGCCGCCCGTATAGCCTTGACGTCGGATGCAGACGAACGGATTTCCATGACAGCGCTAGCCAACTTGGAGAAGCTGCTCCAAGAGACAGACAACACAGCCAAGGCGGATCGAGTACACCGATACCGCATGGACCGCCTAGCAGCTTTCGCAGAGAAGTCGGCATCAATATCGAAAGGCTTCACTGACGAATACGACGACGACAGTGATGGGACGGACGATCTTGAGGACCTGCCAGAATGGCTATGGAAGTGTGACGATGGCGAAGGAGCAACGCCAAGCTGGCTCGAGCTGCCTTCCTTCGGTTGGGTCGACAAGACATCCCCTTCATCGTTTGTCGGTATTCCTGCGAGCGCACTGGAATGGACAAACACGTCCCAGTCAGGATCTCCTGCAGTCCTGTCGACAGAGTACTCACCGCATGCAGTGGACCATTTGATCGATCCCGAGGTCGAATATCTTTACAGACATGACGGCGGCATTCGGCAGACTTGACAGCTTTGGTATTTGTTGCTTGAATCAACCAAGTAAGGTGGTTATTGGCGAAGCAGACTTTGCCAGGGCCATACAGCGCTCAACGACCAGGCTACTGCTGTGGCCTTTTGGGAGCTTGGGCTACCAGAACGCCGCCGCCAAACGATCGGCATTTTTGCCCATGGCTAGTCGAGCGTTGCTCTACTGTGGCTGGCGACACGAATTTGCCCCGTTGATTCTCTCCTAAGGGCGGCTCTGGATCTCAAACAACGTTGAGTCTGAAGCTTGCGTCATATGAGCGGGATCAACTGGTTGGGCGATCTTTCTCAAAACAACGAAGCAAGCCTCCGTAAGTCGAAGAGGCATAATTCTGGGAAACGAGAGATGTAATGCGTCGATGTCTTCCACAGACTATTGTTACGTCAATGATGCTGTCGTGGTAGGCTTCTGTTGCCATCCCCGATTGATGTGAGAAGCGCCAAAATTCTATAAGGAGAGGGAATACAATGGAAGAGAAAAAGACGCGACCGACTTGCATAACAAGGTACTTTACCTGAGATACCTTACTTCCTCGGGCCTTGAAACTCGATAGGGGGACCCGGCGGGAAGGAAGTTCAACAGATCAACGGGGAAAGAGCCGACCACTCTCCACTTACACCGGCACGAAAGGAGGTAGCTAAAGCTAGGGAAGGAGACGGAGAGGGGACGGGAAGGAGGCGAGGTGTTTTATTTACGGAGGACTTGGTCGCAAGTAGAAGAGTTGTGACAAGAGTTAGTAGGTTGTTAGGGATTCAGGGTGTTGTGGCGAGGAGAAACGAAGTCGGAAGATACCAATTAGAGGAGCAAGACGCGTTTATGCCAAGGTAATGACAGAAAGGAAAATACACGATGCCTAATCTCCACACATGAAATAAACAAATCATTTGCCCTTCGTTCACTTTGCCTTGCCGTCCTAAATACGCTGTTACCTACTGTCTAGTACATGTCTGCCTGTCCTCCCACCCCCTCTTACCGCAGGTTGCAAGAGTTGGATTTGAGGGTACCTCAAATGAGGTGGCGATAGATGGCAGCCTACCTTACCTTACCTACCTTAGATACCTTCTTGCCCTTCCTTCTTCTAGATACCTCCCTACCTTTCCCAATTACCTGTCGATGGAGGGAATCGAAAAGAACACCACAGAACATTCCATAGAACCAGTATCTGTCTAAGGTACCTATCTATCTACCTAAGGCACCTTCCATACCAATGGAACGTGCTGTTTGGATGAGAAAGGAAAGAAAGAGACATGGCGATGGGGGAGGGAAAGAAGCAGCGGCGATATGGGTAAGCAGGTAGGCAGGCACCTCTCGGTCACCGTAGATGCTGTCTTTCCTTTCTCATCCTAACAAGGCAGAGAGGAAGTAAGGTAGCAGAAGCGGCTTGCTGCCTTGGACTGCAGTCATCCCCAATCTTGACTCTTACTCATCAAAATGACGACGATGCTTGCGAAGCCAACACCAAGAGCCCCATATCCACGATAATCTGACGAAGACCATCTGCGTCTATTTCTTTACCATACTCTCGGCCGCAATACCGGCGCGATATTCTCCGAAAATTGGTACCGCTTTAAACGGAAGACCTCTGCGGTTTGGTCGACGGACCTCCGCCTCACCGTCCGATGCACCAGCTTCGACCTCCCATGGCTGACGACCATTGACCCGAAAAGAAAGCGCTCGCAACGATGTCAAACTGTCGTGACTACTACACACGTCATCATGCATCTACTCCATGTCGGATGCTCCCAGAGCCTTTAGGCCTGCATCAGAACTTGAGGCATTGGAGCTACTTGGGAAGAAGGCACCAATAGCCCGCACTCCTAGTCCATCGTGGGCACAAGCGGCCAATTGACGCCGGCCAAAACATGGAGCAAAGACGGAACGGGAAAGGAACCTGGGGGGGGGGGGGAAAGGGGCGCTTTTGGGCGACTCAGATCCAAGATATGGATATGCGGGTACTGTTGATAAACTTCCTGGCTGAAGTAAGCTTGAGCATTCTGTAACATTTGAGTCTCGATAATGCAGTATTGACGGAGAGGACTTGTTTTGCAGACCGAATGGCTCAAAACGCCGCCTCCTCGAGCTACAGGTCGTGACCGTTGTGTCAACGTCGCAAAACGGAGAACGTCGTTACGGACCAAGTGATTGATATCCGACGGACTCGACCGGCAAAGATCGCCGAGGGAGAGATAAGATCTCTTGCCTGCAGCGACCTGACTCTTTCATATCCGTCATTTACGCCGCCGAAAGTCAAACACAAGGAAGCATTGACAACAAATATCGGCGACTGTGTGCAAATGACTCGGTAGTAACTAGCGATGGATTGTCATGTGCACCAGAAGAGACTGTCGCACATGGCACTCTCCTGCGGTTTACGCATACCATCCTGCAAAATTGGGCGAAGGCTGATACCGGGTAGGGAGCTTTCATGTCGATTTCTTG